TATTAATGTCGTGTGTGTTCATAAAGTTCTTTATGACACAAACCATGATGAAGTGTTTAATAAAGATAATGAAAAGTTTTATGAACCGTGGTAACTATAACTCACCAGTTTTTAAGAAGCTTGATTTAAGACATTTTTTAAAAACTTGCTAATAATTCACTAATATTTGAATAAATTACCAAGTTTCCCTGATTGTTTCAAAAATTCCGAACATGCAGTAACCTTCAGATAGGCAAAAAATGCAAAAATCTGGAAAATAAAATTTGGCAGGAAACCTCTAAATGGGCTGATTTGTAAAGAAATGTGATAATTTTGTACAAAACCATTAGCAAAAATGTAGTAAGCATTTGTATACAAATTCTGCGGCCATTAATAACTAAAATATTATAAAATAAATACTTTCTTTAAAATACTACAAGGGTTTCCGCAGAGCCTACAGGCATCGAGGCCTCTCTGCAAATTTAATTTCTGATCAGATCATGCACTTTTTTGAACGGATCATTAGAGAGTGAAAAAAATATGAACAATGAAACGTCAAAATATGTAGCCCATAAATACGTAAAGTAACCAATAAGAATATGCAATAAATTTGTAAAATCGGACATAATATATAATATTACAATACACTGATTGTAAAACTTTTATAAAATACAAATTCCATTCGCAAAAAAGTTCCTACACTTTTTTTAAAAATAAAAACGTTTTAGAAATCATTCAATCAGTAGTAAAAGCTTCATATTTTGCTATCCAGGACCGTAGTTTAGCTGCCAGACTGGACGCAATAGAAGCCGTACAAACTGGCAATATGTGCGACGGGCAGCATTTCATTGAAGTTTACAAGTCGGCGATCGCCAAAGTATTTCGGGAAAAAATGATTAAGTCCATGAAACGGAGTGTCAGTGATACTTTTCAGTGAAAATTATCTCAGTCGCTGACGCGCACTTCCTCCCACTCAGATACTGAAGCAGGCGCGCCGGACTGTGGTAACATCCGACAGAGTCTTCACGTAGCATACCTCAAGTAGACAGAACGCAGTAATTATGTAGGGGAAAATGATGATTGTTTTGGAAATTCTTCTTTTCACACAAAATATGTAATAAAATTGGATGTTGTATTTAGACTGCGACGATTTTCCAAGATTACAATTTTGAGTACGGTAAGTAGAAAGACAAAAAATATTTAATTACATAAAAATCAGGTCTATACTGATCACGATTTAATCTAAAATTAGTCATCATCAAATTCCTTAGATCAAATTCTCCATGGGTTTCTCTTTTCTTCACGTAATTGCTTCTCAATCCTTTTTGCTCGAATAGAAAAGCGTTACATAACATTTCTAACTCGAACTCGCTTTCCGCATTCCGGGTGTAACGTCACCGCAGCCTTAGGCCCGCAATTGACTACACCGAGGAATGCGTTGCGAGAAATGTGGAAAATCGAAACTTAGGACACTAATCGACCTCTACACCCTTTAAAGAGTTTTCTCGTTCGCCTCGGCGGAGAGGAAAAGAGTTGCTCCTTCCAGTCTGTCAGCGAGTTACTTTTCTCTGACACATTTCTACTCCATTTGTTATACATCCAGGCATTCGCTACCTAACAGTGAGTACAACTAAGTGAGATTGTAATATTTAACACTAAAAGATGTGATAAATAACCAGTTTTTTATGTTTACTTGAGTTTTTGTTTTAAACCGATATGAACAAGAAAAAACTTGTGAAAGATATTCTTACTTGAATGAAACCCGGTCATATTGAGCAATTTAAAAATAAAAATTTGAAGCAAGAAGCATGAAGGGGTATTTTCAAAAAAATGTATTAATTGATTATTTTTCTTAATTCGTATTCATTATTCATGAATGAATTTATTAAAGGCGAATTTTATTATGCATTATTGTATGAATTATTTGATCATTCGCCATTTATTCATAATTCAACCAACAAATATAGTAATACAATATAGATTAAGGAGCTCAAGAAAATATGCACAGATTTTACTTCTCCCCTATACGTCATAGAAGTTCCAGTTTTTTACATTAAATAATGATTTGTAAGCAATGCCGCAATGAATTTCTCTTTAGGCAATTCGAACTCGCTAAACTGATAGTTTACGATTACGGTAACAAAATAACAATTTCACGGGTAACTGCCGACACCACTCTCGACTTGTGGCACATGAAGGCTTTTCGAGACATCGAATAACCTGCTTCTAGTGTGTGGACGCAGCGTCCCCGGCCTCTGTCCTCATTTCTCGCAACGAATCTCTCGGCGTAGCCTGTTGCGGGCCTTACAGGCGAAGAGGGAGTGTTGAGATATTTCAACGCGATTTCGAGTTTACCCATAGCTTACATAGCTTTTAGTGCGCGCAAGTTTAAACTACATCAAAGTCAATTTACAGGCTAGTATGAACTAAAAGATTTCACGATGCCCCTTGTATCTAGAAACATACAATTTATTCGATAATGACGTTCAAAACATAACGTGAGAGGATATTCCTCTCCTCCTTCCCGTGAAAAAACCGCTAGTGGAGGGTTTGCCATTCGCCATTGTTGAGTAGAACGGGCGACACAGAAGAGGAAGCAATTGCAGATAAACTTTTGTACTTCCTCTCTCGAAAGGGAATACAACGGGCGCACGCTCTCCCATCTCTTCTTCTCTCGTCAACTTGTGAGAATGTGACAGGATGAGATAGCATTTCATTCTCTTTAATGTTTGGATGATAAGTTTGCATGATACAGATTTTCACAAATGTTTATTAAAGTCGGCAGTGGACACGCTGTTTACGGAATTAGTGCGTTTTTGGATGGATTACTAGCTCAGTTTACGACAGTGTGAAGAAGGTACCAATGGCAATGAGACATCTCACGCAGAGGAGCATTAATCATCCGTACATTTACTGTAACAATGACTGGGTGACCAACATTTTACACATATAAAAATCAAAATCCAATCATTACTACCTAATTATTTCAGGCCATTCTTCAAAATTGTAAAACAAAATAATAAGTATGCAAAAAGGATTGTGTATGGTTAGATCTAGTTTAAAATAGAATGCGTACCTATTTACTTTAGCTTTAAAACTTCTGTTTCTCGTTTGGCAATGGAAAGGAGGGACTCCATTTGGATGTTCTGCACCGCGGCCCACGAGCACGTGGCTACGCCTCTGTACGTAAACAAATATTCATCAATGGTATATCAACTGCATTTGTTACATTATGAAAAAAAATCAAAACTGATCTCTAGTACGTTATGATATCCAATTAAATAAATACTGGACACCCCTTCCCCCCTCGACGTCTGCCAAGCTTTCTGAATGCATCCTATGCATCTTTCCATCCCTCAAAATATATCCCGCCTTTGTCGATAGGTACAGCCAGCCGAGTCTACAAATTCAGTTGGTAACGTACAGGTTTTATTTGGGGGACATCAATGAATGAGTTCAAAGTAATTTTTTAATCGCGAGTAATTGCACTTAGAATTTAACCCGAGAGTGCTCGCACTATCTCTCAAACGGAATGTGTCTGTTATTCGGTATCTGGAATGCAGTTTCTTGTTTGAAATCCTACGAATTCATCTTAAACGCCTTGCTGTCTAATCTTCTTTTCAAGTAAATGCTTCTTTTGCTTATTCTTTCATGGACGTGTTGAAACTCGATGGCTGCCACATTGCACGCACTAGTGTGTCTGATCAATAGAGCACAGACAATGCCCCATTTATTACTTTGAATGTAACTTTCGGAAACTTACCCGATCCATGTTCACACAAGACATAGCTATACAACCTATTTTAGAGAGCATTCTAATTATGACAAGAGGAATAGATACGAAACCAGATATTATCATGATGCATGGCATGGGTGGGTCGCTGGTCACCTTATCCAGCTTCAGTCAATGAGCTTCATACGCTAGTGTCACAATATTAGTGGGAATTTTAAATTCAGCCAGATACCACTCATCTTGTTACAAGACACAAATCCCACACATAATATAATTAGGAGACAAAAATAAAATTACAAATGGAAATTAAAGAATGAAGGTGTTGCTACAGAGCCTCATGGAAGAAAAACTTCGCAGGATAGCTTAAAAATCACATCCAGTGAAAAATGCAGTATTCCGATAGCACTTCAGGCACATAACATTACTTTGACCACCATTTTTTATTGAGAAGTCATTGTCCCAATTTCTTCCCAAACTAAAAGAAGAAATGGAGGATCTATCTGTATGGAAAATACACAATGTAAGTTTTGCAAAAAAAGAGAAGGCAAAGATTAAAAATATCAATATAAAAAAAATAAATATAATGAATTTATTTTTAGAACCTGTCAATACTATTTGTCAAAACTGCATTTAACATTATAAATTATAATAAAAAAAATTAAAATGATTACTGAATGTAGTTTCTCTCAATTCCACCTTTCTCACAATAAATACTCCAGTAAGCAAAGGTTTCCTATGTGAAGAATTCATGGTCAATTGCAATGGAAAACATGTAAAAAGTAAACCAAATATGTAAATTAGCAATTAGAGCCTCTCATCATTCAGACTCGCTGTACCTGAGAGTGTGGGCACTGCCGTGAGTATACATGTTGCAGACACTCCCGGGTTAAAAACAGAGGTTTAACCTTCAATATTATGTTGTTTTGTAGTGTGACATATATGCCACCGCTATTTGCTAACAAAACATTTCAGAGGGTGAATGCTAGAGATTTATTTAAATAAATATTCCTTTAATTTTCCACAATACTTTTTTTTTTCTAGAGAAAAGCAAAGGGTAAGAAAGCATATCATTATGACTTCTCAAAATTCTGTAGTAAACTTCCAGTTTTGCAGTTGTTGACCTGTAAAACTTCTACAAAAAAAGTTGGCCCCATGGCCCTCCCTGGAGCCACCGCTAATATTATATCTACCCCATTAGATTCTCACTAGCATCCTAAAGGTTTACAGACACTAAACAAAATCAATAATCGCATTCTAGGTATCTTGATATTCAGCTTATAGAACTTACCTGCAGCTGATGGAGCAGGTTGTGTGAAGCCTACTGCCCCAGCACCAGCAGGAGGAGCAGTAGCATAGCAATTGTATCCATTCACACCTGGGTATGGAGGTGGCATATCTGTCATAAATACAGAGTTTGCTGCAACAGAAAGACAATAATTGAATGGATGAATGAAAAAACACTATTAGGCCACAGTCAGCCATTTTTGTTTTTTTAGGGAAGGGAATTAGGGCAGAAGGCACATTGCACGTTGAGACTGAACACAGTACAATAAAAGATCATTTGACTTCCTAGCAGGCAGCCCCCTTCTCTTTGATAGGTGGAAGAACAGTATCTGTCTTGAACGTGTGTTCTGTTCTTCCACTCAAATGATGATGATGATGATTATTGGAAGACAAATCTCACAAAAATTCCCTAGGTCAACAAATTGCAACCATAACGCCTGACCCAGACTGTTCTTGAAGGAATTTGTGCACGAAACGTTTTTCACAGGAAAACTGTTGTATCCAAGTTTGTGGGTTCAAATCAGACAGAAACCGTGGACTTTTAAGGGTGTAAAAACTCGTTCAAACTCCTTCCGTGAGAGGGGACATATAGCTTACTGTCCCATGTAGATTTACTGCTTGAAAAAGATCCTCAAGCATAAAAGAAGCCTCTGAATTGCATTCAAAATTGCCTGTTTTTTCACCCGAGTATTACGTAGTTTCTCCACTAGATGGTAAAAAGAGCATAACGAAATATGTGTGGTCAGACGGAATAGCAGGCCTGATGGCCCAAGTCTCGCCACATAAAATACACAACAAGTTAAACAAGTGGTACACGGTAGCTTTTTGGTATTCTCCCACCCGCAGCCATCTATTGGCAACATTTTTTCACATTTTCCTCAATTTTTTGGTCCCCTTTAAACTGGAATGTGACTAGAAGAATATTGTAGAATAGAAAGGCCTGTATGTACATATATATTTGTATAGCCCCTGTATGAGTATAACAAAACCAACAGAATGCACTTGTGACTAAAAGGCAACAACGATCACCATTGGATGAAATAGTTATTAATATTTTTATTGAAAATTTTGGAGAGCTTTTCTAAATATCCACAATTTTGTTCGACAAGTATAGTTTTCCATGTGAAAATATGGGATTGGGAAATTACAACCGTACTCTTTGCAATATTATTTAACATTCGTTATTCGTTAAGAGGATATTTTCTGCGTTCTTACATACCTTTAAAAGAAGAAAAAGCAGAAAAAAAGAAGAAGAAGAAAAAAAGAAGAAGAAGAAAAAAAGAACAAAAGAAGAAGAAGAACAAAAGAAGAAGAAAACAAGAAGAAGAAAAGGAAAAGAAGAAGAAAAAAGAAGGAAAAGAAGAAGATGAAGAAAAAAAAAACAACTTCCATTGTACTAATACAATATCAAATACAAATAAACACAATGCAATTGATGATTGAATTGCGTAAAAGAAATTTTCACATCAGATTTATTCAGTTTTATTAAGAGAAATTACAACACTCCCATAAAAATATTTGAAGTAATTATTCACAGTTAGCTTTTTTCTGTTCATGATGGTCACAAAAAATATTAAAATAGCTTTTTACTTGTGAGAAAGCTACATGACTGAACACGCTGACTTTAAAGCTTCACTGAATCCCTGGTGATAACGAAAATACCAGAATAGGCAAAACTCAAACCAAACCAAACCAAACCAAACAAGACATGTCTTCACTGTACACCCACATCCCTCCACAATTAGGTAAACAGCACTTGTAGACCTCAGAAAAACGTTAAACGAATGCTTTCACCACACGCATAAGAAACAATCTTCATTGGTGTCAAGCAACTATTAATAGTACTTCTAGTTCTTGGGTGCGAAGCAAATCTTGAATCAATAATTATGCAAATAAAATTTGTCGGTCTGTATACAGAGAAAGCATAAAAAATATAAAATAGAGGAATCTAAGCTTTCTGACGATGACACAAAGATGGCCACCATCGCCAAGGATTGAAAACTAGATGGCATTGGTAGTATCGAAAAGTGTCGAACCAGAAAAAATTTAATATAATATTCAAGAATATTTCATCCTTTAGCCTATGATATGACAAACTTTTCCTTGAGACCTTTGACCTCAAAATTTTCGTTTTTAAGGCTTTGGATGCTTTGTTCAGGAGTTAATTAACGATTTAGCTGACTGCATGCTGCGGCTGCATTTGACAAATTGCATGTGTTTTTCAAAACAAATCCTTCATATTTTTAAAGCCAAAGTGCAATTCGTCACATTGCAGTGAAATTCTATTTCTTTAGAGACCTCATTTATAAATATCAGTAGTGTGCGAAAGCCACAAAAGGTATGTATACTACCGAAATAATACAGGAGACAACGATGACAATAATAATAATAACAATAATATTTTTAAAAAATTGAGATTAGCAACATTTGTAGAAACTAGACATTTTCGTTTCAAAGTTATAAAAAACCTATTTGCATCTGTAAACAAACTACAGATTTGATTTTTCTGCATTGCTAACAAAATAGAAACCCCCAGCTCTACTCCTACCACTACACGAGAGAGTTCAACAAAATGTGCGCATAGTGAAACTACATTTATGACCAGAAGCAAAACACAGGGCCATCTCAACATCTGCTCAATGGATCAGGAAAACTGGACAAAAACCTGATTAAGATGGGGGTCATTGACCTGGAAGCTGAAGTACATTACTTGTTACAGGCATATTAATTCTTTTTTATACAATACAAATGTAAAGTAATGCATTGTATATCATTGTTTGGTTAAAATAAATATTATTATTTTGCTTTTTGATGACCAGTATTGTAATAAGGGAGAAACACCAGGTTTAATTTGAATAGTAAAAAGGAACGGCATCAAATGGGTGTAATACCATTGTACGCAATCTTGAAATCAAAGAATATATGTTATTAGGGCAACAAATAAACAAGTATAGTATTCCGTGTTTGGGTGTCACAGTGCTGGTCAATGCCCCAAATACATGTAATAGTTGCTTCATTTTAGTCCAATGAAGAAGCAACATATTTAAGAAAAGAAGGATTGATTAGGAAGCAGAACTTTTAAATGTGAATTTTCCACCTTTTTTTATTTATTTACTTAGGTTTGGTTCATGGGTAGTAATATGTCACTACATCCACAGCCACATGTGCAGGATTAATATTCGCTAGACCAAGGCATACTCATGGTAATATTCACCACACCAGAAATAAACTCTGCATTGTGTGTCAGCTCTATTCAATTTTTTATTGGCATTTTCAAAGCATCTTTGGGAAAGCACTTGCAAATATTTATGATCATATATAAAAATCCAAAAATTTAGGCACAAGTACACTTACGCGGTGGAGCTGATGGAAAAACATGGGTGGGTGGCATCCATCCATAATATCCAGTGGGAGCTGGAGTGTAAGCAGGCGGAGGAGCAGCATACCATGGGCCAGTGGGTGGGGTGTATGCCGGCAGACCATCACGTTGGGGTCCGTTTCTGGATACTGCAAGAATAATTCAGATCAACTAGAATCATTAGATACATAAAAAATATGGAAGCCTGTTATATCACTCCTACTCTAAAATATTGCTGGTCACTTCACAACATACACACTCCCTTAATGCAATTATACACCCATCTGAAGTTCTGAAACACCTCTAGAAAGAAAATGAAATTACTAGGATCCAACTACCAATACAGGGAGAGAAGAACAGCTTTTAATTAATACATGTATGATCCCTAGAGGAAATATAACTGTCTTTAACAACCTATCAGCTTTGTGATTATGCTCTTATTAAGAGGTCAAATGTAAAAACTGATGAACATGCAAGTATTTCACAAAGAAACTATTCAAACACGTTCACAATTCATTTTTCAAGGAGTTAATTCACTTGAAACATATGCTTTATTTTATTTTGAACAAGCTGAGCATGAAGTAGAATAAGTCTACACCAACTAATGAATATGAAGTGAATGATACCTTTATTCCCTCTAAGAATATTTTGAATTTCAGTTTTATAAACATATCATAATTCTATAAAGAGTAGGTCAGAATAATAAAAACAACTCATGAAATTTAATAAAGTGAATGGATAAGTTTTAAAAGTAGATATATTTTCGCAACTGTAACAGACAAATGCAACGTTTTTGATATTTAAAAACTTTAATATCCCATGTTTGAGTAATAAGGTGTAGATGTCTAATTATAGAGAGGATTAAAACCAAATAAAAGGTTGAGCATATTTAAATAAAAAGAAATGCAAAATCATTTGCAATATTCAATACCTAAGGTTTACACATCATAATCACAACTAAAACTTTGTTAAAACGCAATAACAATTACAGACCAAGCATAACATTCGTATCCAAAACATACTTCAGATACCAAATGGGAGGCTCATTCTATAATGCTACATTTTCCAATCCTAATTGTTCTGGCAAACTCAAATTTTGAACACATTTTTAATGAATTGATGAAATGCATCAGTGCCTTTTTATTAAGAAAATATTACTAATTACTTGCTATTTGTGGGAGTTACTGCAATAGTACAAATTCTAATGAAATATAGTTAGCTTGTTTTAAGATTTTACCAGAAGAGGCTTATAAAAAAAAAATATACCCAGAGAAACTTTTGTTATCTAGCATTAATCACAACTGTATCATTAGATCATAGATAATTAAAAAACGAGCCATTTCTTTCAAATCTCAAAAAGTTGCCAAACTATGTTATAGCTACACAAAAATTTTTAATGATTCATTGCAAATGGGAAAAACATTGAAATAACTAATTTCGAATCAAATATTATTAATGAAAAAAATAATTTTAAAAATAAAATATTTTACCGATATTAATCTGACTTAATATGAAAGTGCAATTATAAGCTCACTCTAACAAATATCCTGGATTTAAATGATGAATGTGTATGATAATGTCATTAACAGAAATACATACCAATTTGGGCAGCTTTTAGCATTGCTTGTCCAAATTCAATAGCACCACCGGACTTGAACATGAGCTTGAACTTCACTTCACCAACCCAATTCCCATTGGGCTGGGCACGAACTTTTCCTTTGATATAATTAGCACCAAAAACTGGTTGTTCTAGCTCAACCTGCAAACGAAAAATTGATCTGAATATTTCACAAACAAAAATTACAAAAGAAAAGATGCTCTGCATTCACTCACATCACTCAAAGTCACAAATGGAAAGCTAAAGGACTGCATTTTCTCCCTTCCATCTTTTGCATTGAAAATAATTCTATGAGTTGTCAAGTACAGGCGTCCAGACTTGCTTCCTTTGAATTCGGCTTGTTCTTGCCCATGAAATTCCATTACCACATTGTCACAAAATAATATTATACTGAAACAAAAAATAAAGTATACAATCAATTTCGTGCCAAAAAAAGACAAACCATTAAGTCACCAAAACATATAGAAATTATGTATTTTTTCCATCGAATATCAAATAACTTTTCGAAATATGGCTCGCGAACATACATGACGCTGAAAAGGCATATGCGTGAACTCTTGACAGCTAGCAATTAGTTTTTCAATAATAACTCTCTAAACAAACACAATAAAATCTTACGAAATTTCTGGAATACTTATGTAACGAAACTCAATTCTCCTAACTTTCTCAATATAAAAATTCACTTTAGGCTGGACATACCATTCCCCTGCGTGAATAAGAACTCCTCCGCTTGCGTGAGCCGTATTCAGAGACATATTTATTGTTTTTTACAAATGCTTTTGTTTTTCAACACTGCGCAATTTTCGTAGTGGCGTTTGACAAATACACACGTTCAGTCAGATGACACTCAGTTACCACTAGAGGAATCACCTCGAATCGCCTTCCTCGGCCACACGACGTTTCGTTCGCTTCCGATAGGCATTTGTCTGTCACATGACGTCCATGTTATGACGTAACTCGGAGTATGCGCCGCAGTTTTTTGGCGCAGAAATCAATGCATTGTTACGTCCATGACATGCGTAGAAAAGGTGCCATCGTATATTCCAACAAATACGTACGCTCGTTGTAAATATTGTCTCTGAAGAGAATCACACAGTGAGGCGATATATTTCCACATGTTGATGCATTTTCCAATATTTCTGGAGGTTTTGCAGGTGTAGTTGTAATGTGCGGGTTCTGTCAGTTTGAAAATAAAGTCACTACGAAGTGTCATTACCGAAGTGAAGAAAGGAGGATAAACAGTATGAACAAGAAACATGTAGATTAAAATAAAAACACTATTTAAATTTTTTCCATTGTTTCATAAATATCGTTGTCGAAATTAATCCATGATGGATGAAAATTTAAGCAGAGGGTATATTCAACTCGGGAAATCACGAACTGCGAATGATTTTAGATTCACTAATGGTTTCAGTCATTTGTCACCACCTATTGACAAGTGCAACTGCATTTATTTTGCATTGGTTTTATCTGGTGTTGGATTTCTCCTTCCATATAATAGGTAAATGAGGTTTGCTTAACTTCTCCATTAATTTTTCAGTAATTAAAAAAATGAAAACTAGCAATAACTGAATTTTATAAAAAAAATCTTTTTTTCTAGTTTCATTATTGCAGTTGACTATTTTCGTGACCGGTATCCTGACACTACAGTCGTATTTGACATGACATTGGTGTACATTGTGATGGCATTCTTTGCAGTGCTTGCCAATAATGTTTTGGTTGAAACATTGTCTTTAAACACTAGAATTACTTTCGGTAAGAAAAAAAATGACTTCAATTCTATTTAAGAAACGTTAATGCAGTAAGATCATTGTTTCAACTTGAATACATTGGATCTTGATGTTTCTTAGGTTACCTTGTGTCTTTCTTTACACTCTTGTTTGTTGCTTTGTGTGAAATTTGGTGGGATGCTTTTGGAGCATCTGCATCATATACCATTAATCTCATAGCAGTAGCAGTTGTGGCCCTGGGTTGCACTGGTAGGTATTTTTTCTTTTAGTATTACTTTGTAAACTCATCAATAACATTTATGATCCTTATTGTAATTTTTTTAATGTTTAGTTCAACAGTCCAGTTTTTATGGTTATACAAGTATGTTACCCAGCCGTTACACACAAGCAGTAATGGCAGGTGAAAGTATGTATGATTGTGTAGGATTTTGCTGTCATATCTTAATCTGCACTTAATGATGTCTGAAACATTGTTTATTTTAATAGGTGCAGCAGGATTCCTTGTTTCTGGCAATCGTATTCTTACAAAGTTGCTTCTTGATGATCAGCGAGTAAACACTATTATCTTCTTTGTCATGTCAGTTGCTATTGTGGCTTTGTGTTTTGCTCTCCATCAAGTTGTACGTAGAACTGATTTTGTTCAGTTCTACATTACACTTTGTAGAGAATCTCATAAAATTGTTTTGGAACCAACTGAAGATGTTGGCTTGGTAAGAAATTTGTTAAAACTTACAATTTTTTGGTGATGCTAACATACAGAAATAATAACTTAAACAAATTATATTTTATTACCAACAGTTACACTGTTTTATTAAAAGCACAGTTGTAAAATGTTTTTATCTACATAGTAAAATGAATAATGAAAATGTTCTACACTTCAAAGCACTAGGAGAAACTGAATTTTTTTTATCACTCAAAATATAAGATTGAATTAAAAGAGCAAAGCAATGACTCTAATAACATAAATACCCAGGGAACAATGCCAAAAATTCAATTAAATTATGCTTCAAACAGTAATATACTTTTACAGTAAAATACTTTTGGCATTTAACATCAAGTCAAAAATATAACTACAATAACAGTGTGATTTGTTTATTATGTTCTCTCTTCTGTGTTTACTTTTTATTTAAAAAAACAATTTTAAAATGGATCTGAAAATTAAAATTTATTGGAAAACTAATGTAAAAAATTGTTGTTTCATAGAGTATATTGACTGAATGAATTGTCTGTAGTTTGTGATTACTCCATGCTTGCAGATGGATCCCTTGGACCAGGTAGATAGTGCAAATAAAAATCAGTATGGAGTTCTTAAGTTGCAACAGAGTCCATTGGCCACAGACTCTGCAACTAGCAGTTCAGACAACACAGCTGGTGCTGGTCAATATTCAGCATTCAGTTTTTCCAACCCAGTTTATGAACCCTCTGCTACAGCTGCTCCCACAGCTACTGGGGCAGCAACTGGAGCAGGTGTCGGAGCAGCTGCAGGTGGCACGACGTACAAAGTGGAGGACGTTGTCATTCGAATGAGAAGTGTCTACACTTCAAGCAATAGCAAGGCATGGGGTGGCCTCAAACGTGGGTTGATAATGTATTGTTTTTTAACTTTGATTCTGTTTCAACATCCAAAACATTAAAAGGCTGAAATAATATCAGTAATAACAAGTTTGATTTTGTTGCATAGCTATGAAACAAGTTGCATTTCAGATTTGACATTCTATTAAAAATATATTGTTTCTAATTATATTTCAATAAATTTACTTTGTTAGTTTGGAAAAAGTTTAGAATTAGGAATGTTATTTAATTTGTCAATTTCGGATTTGAGATAATTTTGAATTTTTGTTTGTTTTCATTTCTGACCTGTATTTATTTTTAATTTTATTATTTTTTATGTTTTCTTTATTACATTTATTTTCAGTTCTGAACACTGAATTTATTCTACCTTGTTTGCATACCTTTCATGGAGTGAGTATAGATATTGCTTTATTTTTTGATTTTACAATTGTATACCTTTTTATTTAATAGTGTGTGCATGACTTTTTTAATTGATTTTTTTTACTTATATAATGTCATAAAATCTTTTCTAGGTGGCCTTCTGGCTCGTTGGGATGTAGCAAAAATCATTTGGCCATACATGCTTTCTATTGGATTGGCATACTTTGTCACACTCTGCTTGTACCCAGGTATTATATCAGAAATAGTAAGTTGCAAGTTTGGAAGTTGGATGCCAGTAATTCTGATGGCTGTATTCAATGCTGCTGACCTTGTTGGAAAGGTTAATATGAATTTTTGTTTTCATAAATTTATTTGTGAGTCATAACATGTTAAATATAAATGTTTTGAATTTACTTCATCAATTCAGGTACTGGCTTCAGTGCCCTATGATTGGTCACGCACTCAACTCATTGTGTTTGCTTGGATGCGGGCAATATTAGTGCCCCTACTTCTTCTTTGTGCTACACCAAGAGGAAGCCCTTTAATTCCTGGGGAAGGATATCCATTGCTATTCTCTTTACTTCTTGGAGTGACAAATGGACTCGTAGGTAGCATCCCTATGATTCAAGCACCTAGTAAAGTTCCTGAAGAGCACAGAGAACTCACAGGTATGTTTTGTAAATGTAAATTATTGTAGTAGACAATTTCTACTCTTCCATCATGAAATTTTTAAAATGGCAATTCATATTATTCAGATTACTGGTGTATTAAGGGTTCTTTTTACATTGTTTTAGGAAATGTATTGACTTGGTAAAAGTGTATTTTTGAAATTTTAGAAACAAATTATTTCTTTCTACACTATTACTTCCATAACTTTAATGGAATTTATCCAAATTTTTGATCATCATTCAAATTGCAGGCATGTGATTTCTCTTCTGAGACAAAAGTCTTCTAATAGATATTACATCAGTATCTTCTAACAGTGAACAGCAGCTGAGCTATGCCGCAACAGAAATCGAATAAAAAAATTATTCTAACTACAAAATATTTCTATAAATTGTTTTTAATTGTAACCTTCACTTTACAGCTTCCATTTTCTTAACATCTTTTTTCTTCAAAGAACTGCAAATTAGCAGTGCAATGACAAGGGTCTGTATTCTTAGGTTTTAACCTATTTTATTCTTCAGTGTGCAACATCATTATTTCAATATAAATATGTTTCTATTATTTCTGAGACAAATGCGCGAATCTTATAGATTCAGCTAGACAGACTTATAGATTTAGCTATTCAGAAGACAGCTAAAATGATTAACGATCCTAAAAGGTGTGTGTCTTCTATTAAACTATGCTATGAATATCACTGAAGCGGTTTCAAGGAAGGAAATACCAGAGGCTGTAGTTGATGTGCGATTAAAGCTCTTGAAAATTTAATGCGTGGTTATGAAGAGATGAAAGACATAAATGCAGTTCTTGTGGGAGATAAAAAAATCTGGAGGATTACCTTCGGGACTGAGAGCAATGGTAACCATCAAGTATCCACCAGTGACTTCATGTTGCATTTAGCGAACCTTGTGTTACAAGTGTGAGTTTTGAGAAAATATGAAGTCCTTTATGTAAGTTATTTTTGGATGTGCATGGTTTGTAACAGTGAGTCCTTAAAAAAGTGTATTTTTGGTTTGTATTCTAATTTTCAAAGGAATATTTAAGAAGTTTCCAAAATTTATTAATTTTAAATGCTCTATAAGAATACTTTGATCATTTAAGTTCAGAAGTATATGGTTTGAATAAAATGAGTTATAATTTAAATTTGTTATTTATTGGAAATATTATTCAGTTTATTACTAACGCTATTAAAGAAATGTATGAAAAATGTAAACCAGGCTAAATACTTTTTTTCAAGAAACCTGAAATGAATTTATAAAATTCTAAAAATCTGAGCCCTAGTAATGACTCCTAAATCTTTGTATGGAAAAAGCTCTTCCTGCGTGCCTTGCTGAGGCGAAGAAACATAATTTAACTGAACCATTCAAAAGTGGTAGGTGTTAGATCCAGTTTTTCCTCAGTAAAGCATTAACTACTGTAACTAAGTAACACAATAAATACTGTTTTTAATGATCAGGTATGATATACATTATATATAAACTTCTTTATTCATAACTAGTGGACCCAGCAATGCTTTGCTATTGCAATGTATCACGTATCACACACTACCGGTCATGTGATTATTAATCACGTTTTATGTTACGCTGTGCAAAAATTTGAGTAGATGAAAGACTTTCTCGCAATTATATGTTTGTCCTATGGCCTGGTATGGACATGGTGGTCAAGTATTCTATTGTTAAAACGTTCTCCCTCAAATTTGGGCATGCATTTGCCATGATTTATCTTGAAGAAATTTGATTTACTTGTTTGAGATTCAAGTAATAATTCCAGCTGATATTTCACAATCGCAGGGGCAGACTATTTATATGCAGTAAAGACGCACTTGATCCTAGACTGTGCTGCACATTAATAGAGCTCAGGGATGCATGATTCATCATAAATGAATAAATCATCATCAACAATGTCCTCACATGTCCAATTTAATTCAAATAACTCTTTAAACACTCCAAATACTAATAATAACAAAGTGTAAAAATTTTAGTGAAAACTGTCGAATAGGTTTTGAGTTTATGTGCAACACACATACACACATTCCTTTTTGTTTATAAGTAAATTTTGTTGTTAATGCCATTAAATTTGAGCACTTGTTTAAGAGATATATCACAAAAACTCATGAGCTTCAGTACTCTCATCTTCTGAGTAGACTGTTCAAAACACTACAATGTTTCTTGAGATCCATGTTTCAAGTGGAATTCATTTTACAGAAATAATTATCTTTTATTTTACTTTCTTGTATTCATACATATATTCAGAGAAGTATTCATACTAAAGAGAAAGATATGTAATGCTGTGAAAAATGTATTTCGAGATTTCATCGGAAATACAAGTTTTGGGGTGCCCTGCTACCAAGAAAGTGTTTTTTCTTAAAAAAGTCTGGTCTGTCAACCTGTTAACACCAATAGCACCTAAACCATATGTAGGATTTTTTCCCAAAATGGATATCCCCTGGTTTAACTCAGGGCACAGTGATTTTGGAAAACTTTCATCAAAATTTGAAGCCTCAGAGACATTTTCAAAATCGACTCCAAATTTTTACTTTAAACTTTTGGTAGGGATGGTGCTAAATGTACTCTATGAGATAACATAAACGACTTTTTGCTCTATTGGTTTGTTTTTTCAACAATTACAAAAAGGTAATTTTTTTGACTTGCTTCTCAAGTTATGAATATTTACATTAGCAGTAATTTGCTCACATTGTTGCTTTTACGAGTACACTTTCTTTAAACAATGTCATAAGGATGTAAGTAAAACCAGTCATAAGTGTAAGTAAAATAATAACATAACGTCTATAAGTTTCTTGAAAACTCAATACTTTTCTTTGAAAGTGAGCTGAATAATCCGTGTTTTCAGAAATGCTCAAATGCCATTTTCTCCAAAATGGCTCCAAATTTTTGCTTCAGACTTTTCTGACGGATAGTGCTAATTGTACTGATTAATATTACAAAAAGTTCATTTTGCTGTATTCTTTTGTTTTTTCAAAAATTACACAAATATAGTTTTTTGAAATATCTCTCATGCCTTTATTATGCACACTTCCAGCGATTTGTAAACTCTATTACATTTGTGACTAGAAGTGCTTGAAATTACTTCATATGAAGTTTTTTGAAAACAATAGTTTTCAGCGAAAAGAGGTTCAAATTTGTTATGTACAGTAATGCTAAAATGCCATGTTTTAAAAAATGGCTTCAGTTTTTCAATGAAAATTGCTATTTAGGATAAGGTTTTCCTCTTATTTAATATTTTTAATGTAATATTTCTGTTCTACTATTAGAAAACCAAAAAATTGAGACAATGGAAAAAAAAAGGAAGGAAAAAAAATGTTGCTTGGGCAGCGATAATGGCAGCTGGCAGGAGTATGTAGCAAGTCTAAATAGCTAGCTCAGACCAAAGAAAATTGGAAACTAATATGAGTGCCATTCTGTAGCACAATAGTTAATTGTAGTTAGTACATGTTAGGAAGTGTAGTCTTAGTACATGTTAGGAAGCTTAGTCTGACAACAGATGTGTTAAAAGTTCGTAACTGTTGTTTCTTAAGATATGTTTCAAGTGGACCTGATTAACTTTTGTTCTGAATGGAATTCTTCTGAACTACAATTATTGTGTTGAGTATTTGGTTCAAAGGATCATTATTCATCGTAGGTAGAGTGGAAGTTCTTAGTCGTAATGTTTAGGCGCCTTTCTGAATTCAGTGCGTATCATGTACACACGCGTGGTTAAATCATTAAATAATGTTTATGAATTATTGACTTTTAAATAATGTTTATGAATTATTGACTTTTAAATAATGTTCTTGAATTATTCTCTAGCGTACCATTTCCTCTAACATTTTATTATGTTTTGATGGTAAATTTTGAAATTGAACACTCAACATGAAAATACGTTTGGCTTGCTGTACCTGGCAATTTTAATACATGGATGTCTGGCGGTTGGCATATATAGAGAACAGGGGAAAATTCCTGACATTTTAATTGTGTTCTGTGTGTAGTGTAATTGTTGAAAATTATATTTTTGAATTGAATATAATACCTAGATCACGAGTTGTTGTAACATGTTCTAAAACAATTAACCTGAAGACGTGTCAAAAGAAGCATTCTTCAAAGAAAAGATGATACATTTATCTTTATTTAGATTCAGATAATTCATTTTGATGATGCGATTTAGCAAACTCTATTACCGTGATTTCAAAGACAATAATGTCAACTTCATCTGTTATAGACTTAAACAATTTACAAACATAGGCAAATAGTAAAAATTTTACATCTTTTAGAACTCAGTGTAAATCCTTTATGAAAATAATGAAAAGAAAATTAGTCAGACTGTATTTGGCTCTTAATAATCTTAAAAATAATAAAAAGAAGCAGACCCAGGTGGAAACTCTGCATCCTACTCCAGATAATTCCTTAAATCCATCAAATAAGGTGCCATGGGGAATAATTGGTGAACTAAAGTGAAGTAAAAGCTTGCTTGTACAGTTATTATTGTATAATTTATTATTGCTCAGTGAGCAGGTCTCTGGTATACTTACACGTATCTACTATACACACATTCATGAATTTAATGCAAACACTTAGATTCATCTTGTTTGCATTATTAACTTCTTTTTTAATTACTGACCAGTTAACAAGATCATTTCTGTTCGAAATGTCTGTATGTGAAGTAGGATAGAGTTTACTTGAGGGTTGTTGTTACACTGGCACCAGTAGTTTCTTTGCAAAATATATCCTCCACACCTCCTGTAAAGATCATGAAGTCTTTCTTTATTAGACTAGCTGAGTTATCTGTGACACCCATGATCACTTCTTCAGATTTTGTTCTGGGTTCGCCATTGCTTCAATGTCTGGGCTTGAACACTGAGTTGTATCTCTCATTAACACTGCTAACCTTCAACCATAGCTGTCAACATAAATTTCAGTAATGCTCTGGGATCAACTAATCATATTTCTCATACTTTCTACTCAATTGTGAAATAAATCAAATTTGATTTTCACGGATATTTCAAAAAAATTTAAATACATGAATACATTATTGTTATTCTTTTTTTCTTGTTCTTGTTCTTCTTCTTCTAGTTCTTCTTCTTCTTCTTCTTCTTCTTCTTTTTTATTCTTCTTCTTCTTCTTTTTTCTTCTTTCTTCTCTGTCCGTCTGTCGGTACTTCACATGAAATCCCTCATACATTTTCAAAATTTTCTCAAAAATGTCTCCAAATTTTTCTATAAGAATAGAGTGAAATACACGTATAATGATAGTATAGGCCGGATTTTCATGTTAACACTAAATTTTAAAAAAGTGCAAAAGTTTGAAATTTTTTTGGTGTTTCCTACAACTTAATGTTTGAAGTTTTTTTCTTCAAATGAAATATGTTCTCCACAATTAGTTCTTTCTTTAATGCTATGTAGTACATTTTTTGCAAATTATAATAGTTTTCTTGTTCTTTTGAGTGAAATATGGACTCTATTAAAAAAAATTATCCAAAACAAGATTGTTATGAAGAAAGTATGATGTCTTACAAAGTTTCTTAAATACTCATTACTTTTCTGTGAAAATGAATTTAAAAATCTGCATTTTCAGAAACATCCAAACATCATGTTCTCAAAAATGTCTCCTGAAGCGAAAATGTCCAAACAAGGCAAGGTTTTACCCATCTATAATATTCTGAAAGTAATTTTTAATTCTACCTTCAGGGAAATTAAAAATTGAGAAAATTGAAAAATGTACTTTTGGTGGTGATAGACGGCAACTAGAAAGAAGGTGGGGCAAAACCCAAAAGCTGGCCCAGACCAAAGAAATTAGAAAACTAACTAAAATGAGAAAGTTTGTGTAGTCTGTAGCACCACAAGTTCTATTTTGCTACGATCCTTGCTGTTAGATCTTCACTTCATCAATGATGGTATTTCATTCTCCTTTATTTGCTGCTTCTCCATCCTTTATCTCCTAAAATTTTCAGACCTGCTTGGACGTTAATCTGCCAACCAGCATGTTATTTCCCATTCTTATAATACATCCCATTCACAGGAATTTTTGGTTTGTTACCTGCTGCTATACAGAATTTTTAGTCCTTGAGCTCTTTGTTATTTTTGAAGCGTTAAGATCCTCTTTCTCAACCGACTATTGATTTTTCTCTCTCATAGCTTGTAGCAGTTCATCCTGATGTCCAGGTTTCACTAATGGAACCTACTTTGGTTTTATTACATTTTGGTACATTTTCATGTGTATTGTTGTGAGGTAAAACCAACTTTCAATATTTTATCCAGAACTTGGAGTCACCAGTTTCCTGAGTCCAGTTTTTCTCTTCTAGGTCTAAGATAATGCCATTAATGAATTAAACACATGTTCATTAATTTGATTTATTAATTTGCAGGTAACATCATGACTTTATCATACAACGTGGGACTGACAGGAGGATCATTAGTGGCATATTTAAATGATTACTTATTGGGGGTAGATCATGGAAATTCCTGCACTCACAAAACAGAGTTTGTTACAAGTCTACCGTTTTCATCTTCTGTCGCATCAGTTACCGCTAGTTTGTCAAGCATAGGGTCCGCTACTCCAACAGGCCCGGAATTGCTCTCAACAGTTTTGAGTGCTGTGTCACCCAGCAATGCAACAGTGGCAACAGTCACCAGTACAGTATTGGCAGCTGTAGCTCATAGCACATTGGGAATGACAAATTTGGATCCTACACAGTCTTCGGTCTCGGCAGCCACTAGTATCGGTAGTTTAATTTCAAATATGACAGCTCCATAATCAATCCGTCTTAATGGAAGTAATGGTTTAACGTTAGTAGTAGTTTCATTATACAAATTATAAAGTTTTCAATTCCAACTATGGTTATTTGGTTTTCATTACTGAAGTTAATATTTTTCTGTTGAATACAGCTTAGATCTGGTTAAAGAATGCCATTTGTTCTTAAGATGTTTAACTGATAAATCATGTTTTACATTCAGTTCAGACATAGTTATGACAGTGAAATGAATCATTCCTAATATTTTCATTTAATTTTAAAGTTTCTGGTTATGTAAACCATTGTTTAAAATAGATCAGGTTGTTCAAAAGTGTGAGTGTTCGGAATTCTATTGTTTTAATTGTGTCAAACAATTAGTACATTGTTCTGTCATACAATTAGTATATTGTTAAAACCTTGGTAGACTTTCTTATGTAATTCAAAATGTAGAGTAATTAATGGATAAAGAATGGTTGAACTGTCACACTTTTGACAAATTAATGTATTTGATGAACATTTTGTTTTCCCCTTAGAGAAGAAAACGTAGTTTTAGTGTACATTTTCTTATCTTTGCGCAAGGAGAGTATTTGCTGTAATGGTATACTTATACTACTTTGTAAGAAATGAAAAGTTTAAGGTAACTACATTGCAGTGCCAAACATTTTGTTTGTTTGTGTATCGCTTCTTTGTTACAAAGTGTAGTGACACATGGTCATCTAAATTATTTCATTAAATTTGGAATAAAGGAAACAGCTAAATTTCAAGGCATAATAAAATTAAAATAAACAATTAATGTTATAAAGTACTCCAGCTAATGACAACTTTCTGGAACATTACGTATTGGTATTTTTAAAATTCAGTAGCCTATATTGCCACTTCTCTGGAATACTGTTGTAGAACAAAAACCTTTTTTATTCAAGAGAGAGTGATTTAATTTTCCCACAACTTAATTTGCTTGCCATTAATTGATACATAATATTGCGTTGCAAGTTATATAAAAAAAAATTTATATCCCTTGGTTTTTTTATTTATGAAATTGTAATTTATAAAAATGAATTTTTGGGCAACATTGTTCCAAAATAATAAATGGTAATAAAATAATAAAAAATAATGGATTCAAAAATAAATGATGAAGAGATCCATCTGTTACCAAGCAGCAATTTGCATGATGTCAGAGATAAAGACTAATTCTTGGCAAAAACATGAGGGATGGGGCTGATTTACCCTAAAAACTCAATTTTTTCCTTTTTTTGTTACAACGGTATTCTGGAAAAGTGATGATTTATTTTTTTCATATCTGTTTCATTAAATAGCTAAGTATCCATCAATGTTGTGCAGTGTTCACCTTTTCTGTTAAAAGTCTAGATAGATTATTGCTTGTTATTTCTTTGCGTTCTCTCAAAACCATTTTCAGGCTGCAATTTTTTTTAAATCTATATTTTGTGGGTCTTAAAGTATAGTGTGACGTAGTGAAAGTGGCATCATTAACACGAGGGCCAGAATAGGATGATAATGTTTACAACACTCTCTTCTTAGTCCTATGGCCTAATATTGCAAGTTTCTATCACTGAGCACTGCTTGGCATTGACAGTAAGATTTATTTTCAGTAAATGTATATGTTTGTAGAGAGGACTTTAACATTATTTTATTAATTGTTCTGACAGGCTAGACAATTTTACGTTTTCATTCTTCATTCATTCATTTATTTATTTTTTTTAAAAAAAATATAGTAATTACTGGTTTTTAAATAACATGTGCATTAAAATACTGAAATATTTGAAATCAAAAATAATGAACGTGTTCACTTCATGTACAAGGGTGACTGCGCAATTTGTTGTTCTGCATACTTTGCGACCTGATGAGGCTTAACTTTCACTTTCGAAATGGTTATATAAATGTTCTGTAATCTGTAGTCCATTACCTTACCTATGAAACTAAGCATTAATTATGTGAAGTACAGTCATACTAAGCAAATAACCTAATGTAAATGTACTATTTTGTAGATATATATCTTCGGTACCATTTGGACTAATGACATTTGGTTAGTGGGTAAATACAGACCTTTTATGGGTATTGTATGTTGTTCTGTTAGAAATTTGTGAAAAATTTTTAAATGTTATTTGCTGATTGTTAGAGACCCTAGGATAATAACCAAAAAGGAAGTGCCAGAAAGATAGTCATATGTTTTGAAAGGATCCTCCAGTCACCAAGAATGTTTTTTAAAATATTTAATCAGAGATCACACTTGCCTTTGAAATTTGGCTATAAGCTTTTCTTTACATTTTTATTTTTCAATGTGTGACAGAAAAAGAGGTCAATTTGTTAGTTTATAGGAAGTATAATGCAAGTACTTTTATTCATGGTTCAGTTATGTTTGTCATTATTGTTTTTATATGTGATTAATACAAAAGCCTTTAATGCATGAGAAACATGTGGACAATGGTGTCATATTGCTCACCTGTCGCAACATCACTTGTCATTAAAGAATATATTTACTGTATCGTATGTGTATTTGCTTACGCAAGGCATTGAAATGCCTTTGACTATTTAAATATTCTCTTTCACATGTATATGCATGTTAGAAAACAGCAAAGCAGGACAGTTTGCTGTTTGCTTGTGATTCATTGCCCTTCATGCTTGCAGTTCCTGCAAATTGTAAGAAGTGATTGCAAGGATATCTTTCTACCTTACGTCAGGATGCAATGGTGAGAGTACCAGAATACATTCCTCTTTTGTCCACATGCTTTTTACCAACAAGAAAAATCAAGTAAGCATTTTAATAAACAGTGCATGAAGTTCTATACATTTGCAATGTGAAAAATAATGTGAATGTGTCTTTTTTTGGTGTTCATGACAGCATTTGTCATGTTGAAAAAGCTTGTAAATTTTATTTCCGTATAAATAGATAAAGTTTGATGTCTGAATGTTTTTTCGGTCCAGTAGGGGTAAATGTATATTTTCACACATAGGTTCACTACTTCAACATCAGAAGTTTAATTTCAGTGTCGTAGAGAACGATTGAGAAATAGTGTTACACTTTATGTCGTTGCAATGTATCCAGGAGTAGTCCTTAAGTTCCTTTCATGAAGTTGTTTGATATTTTCCAATTATTGAAAAATTATTAGTAATCTGATATTTGTGTCACCAACCAACCAATTTTAAAAAAAGTACAAGTGAAAATTCTTTTCATAAATAGACTCACATGTTGTGTTATCTGTATATACCTTGTATATACTTATATTCTGTATTAAATATTTGTATGTAAATAAAAGTTATAAATGTTATTAAATTTCAGAGAAGTGTGTTATTTTATGTTTGCCATTTCTTATATAAGAAAGTTATCAATAAATTATTTTAGAAATTTTATTTTAAAAAATTTGTATTTGTGTGAATCAATAATTCTAATTTTAAAATATAGATCAGGAAGTTGAAACTTTTCTTCTTGAAAAGATAATTTCTCTTGAAATGTTGAGATAAAATGGGGGTAAGGAAATTTCCTTCATATTTATTTATTATTCTCCCAGAAAATAGGCTCCATATTTTTATGTTAAGTCAAATAAATCTGTTTTGGGGTTGACTTCAAACAATACATTAGATTTTTTGAGACCTACATTATCTTAAGGGCATTCTGAATCTTCTAGAAATGGGAAACAAAAGAATGCAAAGAATACACATTTGGCATGAATATTACAAACATTAACAGAAAGAAATATTTAAAACTTTTTGGCAATATGTATAAAGAAAAATTTTACATTAGACTTTAAGAGTGCAGAACTACTGTAAATAGTGAATCAGTTGTTACCAAAAAACAGTTAAGAAGAGAATAACTAGACAAGCTAGTTGTTCATTATATCTTTTGCTGCTTCCTCCACAAATTTGAGGACATTTTATTTTTATAAGTACTTCAATGAATTCTCTCAAACTGAATTTGTGAAATAATTTCATATAATTCACTAAAACTTAAGAAGAATGGCCAGGTTTGTGAACTTCTTGAGAAATAATTTATAAGCAAGTTTTCAGAGTAAAAATATCCCACTTACACAATCACAAATTACAGTCATATTGTGATTGATCATAAGGAAAAAACAACAACAAACTACATGAAAATGTATAAGAATTTTATTTTTCAAATTTGCTTGGTGTAACTTAAATATTATATTAGTTATACAAATTAATCTGTTATATACAAAAAATTAAGAAATAGTATACAAGCCACCTGCCAAAAATCTACAATTCTTTACAGATTATCTGCTGTACAAAATAACTGAAACAAAACCAGCAAAACACTGACAAAGAGCAAAAAAATGGAAGTTTACCTCAATAGTGAGAAGCTAACTTTTACAAGAATGAAAAATATTCCTCCCATTTTGTGCTAAGACACAAGCTCACAACTAAAACCAATGTTGACTTTGTGGAATACCCATTCTTTTGTTAACTGTGAATCCCACAAAGATACATCGGAAAACAGACACATGACTACACTCTTTAATGAAAAGAAGGACGATTCAGGTAAGTAAATACATAATTATGTTCAGAAAAATATGCCAAGAAATTGGCAAGGGAATCGCATCACAATGCATCTTCAAAGATCTCTGGAAATACATATTATGTACAAAATATTACAAAAGCAGGACACTCAAGCAAAAGGAATAAGGCAACACTGGCATTTACATCACACTTTCAAAAACATTTTATCTCATTTGAAGTTATGAAACCACAATATCACAAACATAACAGAAGAAAATAATAGAAAGAATGGACTAGAAGCCTCAAAAAGGACTGATTCCTTTTGTTTTCTTCACACAAGTTTAGCTTGTCTTCAAATCTGACATCACAAGAAAGGCACAGGATTGCACAAGTAAATGCCACAATAAAATGGCATGGCACATAGAATCACCTGCCTTTTCAGCACAAAGAACAAAATGCAATTATTAATGAACAAGTAGGAACATATGAATATTACACTGCCAATTAAAAAGAGTTTATTTTATACAAGATAAGTAAAAATAGCTATAAGAGGCAACAATCACAAGAATGTGTTAGCAGGGTAATATGACAACAGCTCCTTCAAATGCATTTTTATCTGCAAGTTCTTGAACTGTCTTGAAAGCGGAAGCATTGCCTTTTAGACTGGAAACCTTCCTATTTTTATACATCAAATTCCTTATATCATATATTCACATACAACAAACCTACAATTCTAGTAACAATATCACAATGTTATAGTACACCAATTTTTTTAAAATAGTAACTGAACAGGGAAAATGAAACGTGTGATATTCATTTAGATGAGCCTTGCATTTTCTTTGGGCAAGCTTGCAGCTAATGAAAATACATTAATATTAGAGCATAGTTTTAGGGTAAGGGCAGTTCAGTTATTTCTCTCATAAACAAGATATATATTTCAAAAAGCTATCAATTAGAAATAATTCTATATCAAACATTGATTTGTCTTGCTGATATATTCAAAATGTCCATGTACACATTTGGGTCACAGTATAAACAACTTGTCATTTAAAGAAATGCAAGTAAATTGGAAGAGAGGGAATATCACAAGAAAACAGACTTATAATTCAATGCAAATTGTACTAAATATAAAAAAACAAGAAAGACTTTTGCTTTCTTTCTAAAAGCCCATTTGCATTTTTTAAACAAGCTTTCATTTTAGCATAGTTTCTTAATGATTTATTCTTTTTTAAATTTCCGATTTCCCTAAATTTGGTTGTCTTGCAATCCTTAGTGGATTTATTTGGTTTAGGTATGCATTTATTTTAATTCCCAATGAATTCTACTAGAAATTGATAATTTCTTCCTCATGAGTAAATGATTCCCAAAAAATTTAATTATATTAAAAAAAATTTGAGGAAATAACAACAATTTATACACATTGAAAGATACTGTAATTAAAAATTATTTATGTATAAAACATTCTTCAGTACAAAGAGTTTTTAAATGTGATGAATAATGCAGGTAAAGAGGAACAACAGTGTTAACTGCAGGTTTCTCAAAAAGTGGTAACAATGAAAATATGTCCAGTGAAATAATTCACATTATTATTTCACACAAAAATAAATATCTAGTTTCATTCTCCCATTTGCTCCATTTAGAATAAACCAACTTCCTTTTTAATGTTTGTTTGTTTCCAAGATGGTAACTCCATAAACTCTTCTTTACTCATACCCAGCAGTTCCTAAAACAAATGTTTCATTATTCACACAAATAGTCCTTGAAAAAACTTCAAAGATTAACTAAAAACAAAAAATCAGTACTTGGAAATGATGAGGCTCAAGATACAGTTCAAGGCGAGTAGGATCCACACCATCAGGTAACGGTCTCTGAAGAAGTTGAGCTGGTGGATATGTTGAGCGGGTGAGACGAGCCAATTCCATTTCCACCTCTAGTACCTCTCCAGGCTTTTTCCCATCCTTTTCCAGAAGAAGAGCAAAAAGCAAAAACAAAATTAAGCGATCATTCCAAATCTCACAACTCATACAAATTACATTTTAAACATCACAATCCAACAGATAGAAGAGACTAGACATATTTGACCCAATATTATTAATATTTTCATTACTACATTATTTTGCAATTATTTAGGCATAGTATTATTATATACCACATCTTTCAGAAAATATGAAGAGATATAGCAAATTATTCAAAAGCCTACAAATGAGTTGAGTTATGTGAAGATAGGTCTTAGGGATGTATAATTATATTGTTAAAGACAAAAAAATAATTTCAGTGAAATGAACAATATTGTATTAAAAGAGTGCATGTTTATAATATTTTCACTTTATTTTGCAAATTAAACTTGTGACTCCTATTTCTATGGGCCATGTTTCTTTTTGCAATGTTCTGTTAAGAAATTGCCCAGTGGGAGCTAGTAACCTTTTATTCAAGGAGCTGCAATTGGGATTTTCTAAAGTTTTTTTTATATAAAATGTTAGTACATTAATAGAACTATCAAAATTTTTCACTGAGAAGTTAGCAACCCACCCAACTGAAGTCTCATTCTCTCGGACACAAATTCCACTAACTAGAAGAAATAACTAGGAGTTTATTTTGGAATTATAAAAGAAAATCATTAAATTTAACTAAAATAATTGTGAATCTAGTTGTTTATAACTAACTTACACAGCATCTGATCATTATCTTGAACTTACTCTAATATTAATTTCAGCAATATCATCTCGATCTGTCCACATTGGGAAGAGGTTCGTAAATTGTAGAGGTTCCAAACCAGCCCACACCAGGAACGCAGGCACATTAGTTGATGCTTTGTGGTCGGTATGAGAAAGATGCCAATAATCTAAAGCAGTCTGCATTGCAGCTCTGCGTTCTGCTTGCCATCTGACTGCTCCAGAACCAGTTTGAATACTAGAATCTAAACTCTGGTCCTCAGGGTCATAGGGCCACCATCCTTGCCAAAGCCACAACTCAGTATCATTGTCCAATAGAAAGAGAGCTATCAATACAAATAAGAAATTATATTATCACAAGATACAGGTCAATATAATAATATTAATAATAATAAATAAAATTTAATTCAGGAAGTTCAAGTCAATAAGCTACATAATCTGAAATTTAAGATAATTAGCCTTATTTTAAAGATATTACTATCTATGATGGTCTTGCAAATTTCAACTCCAAAACATTTTAACATTAATTTATAAATTACATAATTTTTAACACAAAAAAACACAAAAGTAGTTTCTCTAATCAGTTTCAGTTGCAGACAAAAGCACTTTCCTTCCCCCCCCCTTTTTTTTCTTAGTGAACGATCATAATTGAATGTTTTTGAATTGAGAAGCACAAACACAAACAGTACATTTTTACCTGGCTGACTAGCACTATATAAATCACTCTGTAGAAAAGGGTATGCCACAGTCTCTCCTATTTGACGGTAAGGGCCAAGTATTTCAGTTGCTGTGAAGTTCCCAGATACACTACTGAAGTGGAAAAGACGCGGAGAGTGGAGCAATGGTTTAAGATGGTTCGTCAGCGATACATACAAATGTCTGTTACTGCCTCCAAGACCTACAATAAAATAAGATCCCAATGAGATAATTGTATCTGAATTATAATACAATCACAATTGTATTTATGCATCTAATATATTTCTGTATTTAATGAACCTTTCATAAATTCTTTGCTTTCTTCACCCTCGTGTTCTTCATGAATTGTGATTGCCACTCCACTCTTAATTCCATATTCTGGAGCTTTACTTGTCTTCAATTTTTCTGCTGCTTTGCGAGTGACCTGAAACATTTCTAATTGTAATCAATTGATTCACTAAATTCTGCACAAATAAATTAAATACAATGTTCATACCTTGCAGGTATTTTGACTAGCTTTGGCACCATACCACACATACAAAACTCCTGTGCTTGTATTAAGAAGTACCAATCCAGCTCTACTTCGGAAGTGTCTCGTACTACATGCTACTTGCACAAGCACGGCTTCTTCAACTCTTTCGCCACGGCAAAGGAACAATTTCCAGGATTCTGACAATAAAAAGCATCATTCAAAACAATATATTTTAAGCAAAAACATGTGTTGTAGCATTACATCTTGTAACTAACAATCCTTAGAAAAGTAAAATTCCTTATTTCTAACTATACTGGAACTGTAGTTGTCAATACCTGAGGAATATACTATTTTTATTCTTTCTTCATCTATGGAGTTATATATGTAGCACAGTGTTTGTTGCATTATGCCGTGGAAAATAAATTTCAAAATTTCAACAAAAATAAGTTTTGGGGACCCCTGATATGGAAAAAGTTTTTTTTTTTTCCAAAACCCTCATCCATATGTAAACAACACTAGCACCTCAATTATTAATAAGAATTTTTTAAAAATGAAGACTCTCCAGCTGGGCTGACTTGATGTTCTGTGATTTTGAAAAAAATACTTTAAATTTTGAGGCTAATTCACATAATGCCCCAGGAACATTTTCAAAATTTTCTTAAAAATGGTTCCAATTTTTTTCTTTAAATTTCTTGTCAGAAAAGTTCCAAAAGTTTGAAATTTTTTGGACCTCCCATCAATTATATTATTGAAGAGAGATATTTTTCTTGAAATAAAAATTTATTCTCCACAATTAGTTCTTTAATTAATGATGTCGTGTACATTTTTTAAAATAAATATTTGAAGTTTTTCATGTAAATATGGGCAATTTTTAAAACAAGATTTTCTCAAAATTAACTCAAAATTTCTTAAAAATTGTTTAGGGATAATGCTAATAATAATGTACAGAATAACACAACATGAAAAGCCATTTTGAAGTATTTGGATTTATCAAAAATTTTGCAAATGTATATTTTTTTTATGATTAGTCATTAATATTTACATTGTGGGAGTGTTTTTTTATATATATATTTATTATATTGCATTTGTACATTTGCATTTGAGTACAAGTACTTCAAATGATTTCATTGAACTCTCTAATAAACTTTCTGAAGTGCATAGAGAGGACAGAGATAATATTCTCAGGTATAATGTTCAATTGTGTTGAATGCCCAAGTAAATTATTTACAGTTGACTCCGATTATAGTGAACTTCTGAAGACAAATATTTTTGGTTCACTACATCCAATGATGTCAAAATCAAACAGAATTTCTCCATAATGATTAATTTTATTAATATAGAGATACAAAATACATTAACAGCACAAACTGACAATTTCAATGTCTTTATTTGTCCTTAAAAGATCAATTATTTTCAATTGTTTGCTTCATACGTTTTTCATTAGCAATTTCTCTAGATCCTTTTCCCAAGTTTATGCTCTCTCCATACTTGATTCTGCATATATATATATTCCTCCATAATGCAGTCTTGCTTCTTGCATTGTTGGAATACCACCTCCAAAGGCCTTTTTACTTCCCTAATAATATAAGAGTTTCTTTTGGTAGTGAACCGGGGCAAGCGGCTAATGAAACTGATCGCTTTTCCGCGCAAGACGGCATGTATTGCCAGGATGTGGCAGTCACATGCTTCCTGTCACTTATGTAGAACTCAATGTGCTTTGTCCTGCAGAATATCAAGTATCACCAAGTTCGTAACTGAAGCCAGCATTCGCGTGTCGCCACCGCCACTTGTAGCCCATTCAGGACACCGCCTTTGTTTCTGCAGGGAAATAGTGTCGTAAGGTCATCAGTAATGTTCCCATTACAGGTCCACTAACTACACCTCGGGAGACATTTTCAATTATGACTGTTGGCCAATGACATTTTTTTCAAGCTACCGAGTGTTGTTATTTCTGGCAGTGCGAGAATATATTATTTTCTAGGAGGGAATTAATTTCCAGGACGTTGTATTTCCTACATTCACTGTAGCAGAGATTCAGGTTCACTATATCCAAGTTCATTATAACCAGAGTCTACCGTAATAGTAGATCCAGTGTAAATAATTCACACAGATTTCAATATATTTCTTATCTTCTAAAGCACTTAATAACAAATATTCTTCATTCTCCATGTATTGTTTATTCCCTTCAAGAATGGAAATAAAAATCAGAATGGCAACACAGTTCTTCACAGAGCCAATAGAGTTTGTTGGCTCTACAACTTTGCCATTTGTCAGCAGGTTACAGCAAGTTTTGCCAACTAACTTTTTATGGGATTCTTTGTGTTGTTACGCATCTTTATTTGTAAGTAACATTTTTAGGTCAGTGAAATTACTAAAACTAATTAAAATAGCAAGAAGAGGGAATTCTGAACTTTTACATCTCCATTATACAAATCCACCCTGTAGTTGCTCGAAGTATATACAGTACAGGACTAAATAAAGGTTAAAGTTTTTCTGTGCAATTGCACAAAGGACGATGTGGCCCAAGGAAGAGGTGAAGGTAGGGCACCACCAATTCTTGGCCATCGGCACAAGGAAATGATTGTGTGGTGAGCACAACACTCTGGCTGCCTTTACCCCTAGAAAAGGTCCTGGTACTCATTAGGAAAGGAGGCTGCATTAATCTGAGAGCCGCCTTGAATGGAAATCATCAGATAAAAATCCCATCCTATGTTGGGGTTCAAACGTGGGTGCTTCAGGAAAGGAAGCCAGTGCCCTACCACTGAGCCACTGCTGCTCCTTATAAGCCCCAAATTACCCCTCGTACGTTCATGCATATTTACATGCTGACTAGATCCCCCTGAAAAGAAAACACATGCACGCATGCACACACACACAAAACATCAAAACATTTACCTTCTTGCTTGCTTTCAGTTGTAGGCTCTGATTCTCGATGCCCTGTATGAACTGTCATACCACCATCAAAAAGACGCAAGAATGCAGGGGGCTCTGTCCCTTCTACTGCCCTTACTTGAGGCCCATGCTCACGGTCTAGTTCCACAGTAAGCAATGCTGCTGCACCTTGCTCATTAACCGATGCATTCTGGCCCTGCCAGAAAAAGTATGCACATCGATCACGTCCGACTACAGAATGCCGAGATGGTTGACCACTGCTTAATTCACGACCTGCAACCAAATGGTGACTTGACTTGTAACGATTTCACACATGTAAGCAATATAAAAGAAATATAATAGCTTTGTATAACAGTAATATATTAATGAGTGGTATTCCTAAAAGCCCTCTGTTTCATGAGAAACAAATTAAAGAAAGACTATTGGGGCCAAGACTGTTAACATGCACTGGCAGCTTGAGTCAAGTGGAGGCGCCAAGCAGTAAAAAGGTTGGGGGCTCTCAAACTCAAGTTAGAAACAAAAGTAATAGAAATAAAACTCATAAACTTATTAACAATAATGAAAAGTATTGACAATTACACTTTAAAGAAATTTATTTAAAAAAACATTTGTACATGCATTTCTGTCTTGCCTTATTTCTTTCAAAAATCATCATTTGTTTTCGTCAATGCAGTTTAAAATTTTGAGCTAGTAGACAAAATTGCCAAGTTATTTAACTTTTTTCTCCTATTGTATTCTTATAATATTTTTTTTACTCTAAAACTGAAAATTATCTACATATGTATGTATTAGATATGGGAATTGCTAGAAAATTCTTCTTTAATTTTTCGATATTACAAAATGACCAAGACTATCGGATTGATACATGTGATGATATCTATCCACACCTCTAACACAGGAGAAATCTATTAGACCATGGCTTGAGAACACTGTTGCTAAATAAAGGGTCAATTTCTTTGTAAAATATTGGATACTGTAAATTCAAAGGCCTACAGTATCATGGGGCTCAATGTGTTCACATGGTCAGTTAAAACTACTACTGTTAAGATGACAAAAAGGACAATGTTATAATTTTATTTTATCCAAAACAGAGTACATGTAAATTTCAAAATGTTAAAGGACAATGACTTCAGACATGGTTCATTTAAAAATAATCTACCTGTGACTGTTACAGAATACTGCCATCGAACTACATAACTGTCCTCTGAATGGAACTGCCCTACAGAAATTGATGGAAGTTGGGATGATTCATACTCCTGAATATGCCAGACAGTAACACCAATTGTTGAAATTTCATAATGTCTGTGAGTCTGAAAAAGATTTGACACATATTTATTATGAAATTTGACATACATTTATAATATTTTGATACTACAAAAAAGCTGAACATGAAATCTGTAAGAATATTACCTCTTCATCAAAAAATTGATTTCCACGCCCTAAATGTGTATTTTCAAGTACAAGATCTGGGTCATTTGTATTTGGTTTCAACATTTCCTTTGCATCACAGGGTTTTACATCTATAGTGGTTTCAGTCTGCAACATTTGACAAAATTAATTAAAATGAGAAGTAATTAACCAGAAACAAACTTTGACATTCTCAGAACAGGCAACGTCACCCATCAGCCAAGCTTCTTGTTGCTGTGCAAGGCAAAACAAAACTAAATGAACAATGTAAATAAAACATTTATTCTGTTACAGTGCAATTAGCGGAGAATCCTGCATGCTCTTAAAATACAACAGCGGAAACAAGAATTGTGATTCTCACTGCCTCAAAGCATGATAAACATGCAAAAAAAATATTACCTCTGAAATTGACATTTTTTAAAACATAAAATCACAAAATAAATTTATTATCATGCTCATGATGATTCCCAAAAAGGTTACTTCCATAAAAATAATGAATGTGTAAAAAAAATAAACTTTTCAATTGTAAACCACAATTTGAAAATTTGTTTTGATGTTCAACGAAGGTGCAAGGTGCATGAATGTTATTTAAAAGTATTGTAGAAGACAATGTATTGACATAAAGAAATAATTCTCAAGGTTGACAAATTAAACAACACAAAATTTATAACCCATTTCATAAATATGCATGTAATAGCTCCATAAGGATTTTTTTTATTCACATAACTTTTTTCCCCTGTTACCAAAGGAAAATAATTATGATTTAATTACAAAAATTATCTCACTCTCTCTGCACCTTACAAGCTTTTTTTATCCCCAAATATTTGTTTATAATCAAAACTACTTCACAGATAATTCTTTATTTTTAATATATTCAACGATTGGTGGTACCTCTTCATTCAAGAAAATAGTTTGGATTTACAATATACTCTTCACATTAAGAGATTATTCAGCATCATTACCATAACAATTCTTAATATTAGTATAGTTCATTGCAGCAGTGCTGATAGTTTATTAAATTTGTTTTTTTTATTTTAGACATAGAAAAGTCAGCAGGTTGTACCATTTATAGGTTTCTTTGTGTCGTACAATTGTTTTCAAATATCTATGGCAGTAATTTAAGAAATGGATTTATTACATGAATTTGTAATTGAATCAGTGAACATGTTTTATGATTTTCTGTTTTTTCTATGTATATTTTCTCTCAGTTTATGTCTCACTATGTTTCTGTAGCATACTATACAAAAAATGTATATAAATAAATCATTACTGATTTTCATATTTTAAAAATACTTTTAATTCAACTCTGAAAGAAATATTGGTTTGAGTACAGAGTACCACACTTAAAGCAAGCAACATGAAATCACTTAAAAAAAATAAACATAGTAGCAGATGAAGTTCTAGTGCTGAGCACCAAATATTTGAAAAGAGCCATTCCATAAAATAAACATATTAGACACACTGTAATAAAAACTGCAAATGAATAGATTGCACAATGCTGTTGTCCTACAACTTTATTTGTACTGAACGACTTGTCTGGATACAAAAAACCAACCTGCCAAGATGTCTTGCAAGCCACCTTTTTCAGAAACTTGAGTATACAATAGAGAAGCTAGAAGAGAAAGGATTTGACAGTTTTGTTAACTATTGTTTCACTGGTTCTAAAATTAAATAGAACATTTAATTAGATAATTGCATAACTGAAAACTCTTTTGAATAAGATACACTTCCTCTATGATGATAAAGAAAATCAAAGAGCCAAGTTAGGGTGTAATTTAGTTTAAAAACAGTGGACTTTCAATTGGGAATTCAGGAGGAAAATTGAATTGATTTTATTACTAAAATAATCTACTCAACTTCTGCACTGTTGCTTAAAGAAGTCTCAATTTAAATTTATATCCAAAATTGAAAGACGAGAATATTTATATTGAAATCTTCTGTTGTTCAGTAACAAGTCTTAAGGTATATTAATTAGTCTAGTAGCTTCCAGCTAAAATTAAAGTTTGAAACAACAATTTCTCCACGCGTTTACTCTGACAAGAAACAGACCTAGTAATAATAGTTTAAAATTTCAATTCATTGATGTCGGTTATTGATACATGATATTTTCCTATTTCCATGTCAATTTGATTACTAGATAAAGTATCAATGAATATTCAATATTTTGAATACTTGTAACACAAGTATAAAAAGTATTTATAATACTGCTTTAGAATATTTTCAGAAAGTATTTGAAAAATTTCAAAACTATTATTCCACCAAAGTACATAAAAATATCGAATAAAAAACATTAAACACTATAAGTACCAACTTTGCCGAATAATTTCTACGGTAATTTCAATTGCAAAAAATAAATACAGAGGCTAATAATATAATAAAATAGTAGTAAGTAGTAGTAGTCAGTAGTAGTAGTGTAGTGTAGTGTAAGTAATATAATAATAATAATAATAATAATATAATAATATAATAATATAATAATAATAGTAATGAGCCTTAGTATATTAGTATTGAAGCAGGTGTATGTATATGTAGACCACAATGTCCAATTCAAGAAAACAAAAATAGTTGAAGAAAAGAAGAAGAAGAAGAATGCATTTACAAAATTGAGATTTTAGTCTGTATGAAAGAAGATGGTTGGCTGATATGACAATTAAAGAGGCCAATATAATGGTGTCTAAATCTAGGATTTATTATAATATGACAGGATGAAAAGTACCATTAATACAATTTATACATTCTCTTATAAAGTGTATAAAACAATAGTGACTTGCCCGAACTCCCAAGAACCCACCATTGATTAGAATTGGGCTTAGGGATGTTAGGTTTCTGCACAAAACATGGTCAGTGGGAACCTTTATATTCCTTCACTTTCAAATTATTTTACATATATGTTGTAATTATGAAATTTCAAGCAAGAATCTCATATTATACTGTACTTTAAAATTGAAATTCGGGTTATCCATACTTTCATTTTAAATGTCTTCTGATATTACTAAATGAAAATAGCTGCATGTACCTTATTAATTTCCAACAGATTTATTTTCATTGTTACAGTATACACCTCAGGAGTGCCCATAAGCGTTGTAGGCTGGGGGATATGTTCCAATGTTTCAAACTGGGGGATTTGATTCAAATTTCATTTTTTACCAAGAAACCTTTAGTACAACATACTACAACATATTTAATCTTTATAAAACATTGTCTGTGAAACAATAAGATGATGTACACAAAACTGTTTTGCCTTCATTACACAAAAATGCACGGGCAAGGAATTTTACGAAGATGTTCTAGATCTGGTGGGTAGATATAGGGGTACCCATGCAAGCTCACATTTTCAATTCTAACAAAGAGGACTTACTGCTTCCCGCTGTTACTGCTCAAATGACAGCAGCTGTCGCTATCTCTGTGTCTGGTACTGTTATTGCCATTAAGTTTTGCTCTTAACTTTATTTAAAAAGAAGATATCATGTAAGTAATTGCTGAATTGAAATTCACAATGTTTATTCAATTTAAAAAAATTTTTTTTTAAGAGCTTTTTATGTTATGAAACTGATTTTACACTCAACATTACAATCAATTTTTTTCCCAAATATTATGGGGTGTATCCTGTTAACTTAAGTAAATAAAATGTTGTGGCTAAAAATAAAATTCCATAGAGGTACTATCATTGAAATGGCATTCTTTAATGTCCCCCTCCCTCCACATTTTATGTGCCAGAAACTCCCTTACTCATGCCTACCAACATAATTTTCTTGCAATTAATCAGATAAAAGAAACTACATAAGAAAAGCAAATAATACATTATTTAAACATATACCATTCAATCTTCTGGTAACTGAAAAATATAGAATTTACTTAAAGAAATACACAAGTAAAATGTAGCTATAACATAGCTTTCTTGATAAAGCATAAATTAGATATTGCAATATCTGGGGAATGTCAAAATTCTACTTGAAGCTTCACCATGCAAAAACATTGCTAATGACATGACACTTAAGTTCTCAATTTATTAGAAACCAAACACCACACATTAGATATTTTTCAAGAATATGCTCGAAGAACGTGTATTGTTTCTTAAAGAAAGTTGTTTTTTTTACCTGTTTCTCATTTTCTTCAGATCCTTTAGTACGAATAACTCTTGAGAAATCAGGCCAATCCAGAAATTTTTCTCGGAAAAGGATGGTTTCCATGTGTTGAGTGACACGAGCCAAGAGAGACCAGTTAGGTCTATTTGATCCACTCGCCAAGACTGTATCATCATTTTCAACACTTCGAGAGCCTAATGATGATGAAACATTCAGAGGACACACATCACATTCAGAATAATCGTAGCCTTCATCCCACAGTTCTCGGGCTAGTCTCTGAGCTTGTCGGCGAGCTTCTACAGGTGTGTTTTTTCCATTCCATACATACAATTCAGATCCAAAGTCAAATACAAGTATCTGCAATTAAAAAGCTTAGTGAAATACATTAAGAATTGGAGATTAAATATAATTATACACCATATAAACCATCCAAATTATATAATTGCATGTATTAATTGAATTAATAATGCAATCTATGTCTAGATAAGAACAATTTTCTTAAAAATATATGAAGCTCAATAAAATGAGTAATTAGCTAAAACAAAACTTTGGGAAAATGAGTTTACACAATACAAAGTTAAGCCTTGGGTGAACAACACACACATTGACCAAAATTTTGAATTTTTATATTTGTGGGTATTGTTCAGTAGGGCTAGCCTTTATCCTGAAGGAGAGAGAACATCATTCAGTGTCTCTATTGGAATTTAGTATTTTTGGTCAGTTTCACAAATAGAGTCCTAGGCCAGAGAAAGTTGTCTCACACTCCTGGAACATCTACTACTTGACCATGGCTAATCTTTAAAAATTGCCCCAATTGTATAATAGATCATGTAATTGATTATTTTTGAAAAAGTAAACATTAATCATGCAAATAATTTTGAAGATTCATAACTGACTGAAAATAATGTAGTAATAGCAAAACTTCAACAAAAAGCAAGGTCACATTTGGGAAAGAAGCAGTTGAGAAGAATAAGCTTATTTTAACACAAGACAACTGTTTCACCTTGGCAGGGTCCAACATACTAATGCGAGGTATGCTTCCCCAGAATTCTTCCATAGGCACTAGTTCTTCTCCTTGTACTTCATATATCATGTTAGTGGCTATCACAGAGGTTTCAAAGAGTTCATCTTCATCGGGATGTCCAGCATTAATGGCCACTATAAGAATGCATGAAATAAGGTGTTATAAAATCTGCACCTTCTACACCATCTTCATCACCAATACCACTATCACTACCATGATCATATAACAAAACTACAGAATAATTAAGAAAAGTGTCTGTAGAATGTGTGGAAGTTATCAGTACATACTAAAATATATTTGATCTACTACTGTGTGAAATGCGTTTCTGTTTGAGCTTTTGTATGGATTAATGTGCATTTTAGAAATAAACTAATAAATAAGTTGACATAACTATTAACTAACATATGTAATAAACTATTTACACAAGTGCTTAGTTTGAAGAAAGATTATGCTTATTGTAAATTCACCAGTAAAAATTTCACCAAATTTGTCAGGTATGATACCATGTGTGTCATCTGCATAGTTTGAGGGATTCTGTACAAAGATCACTGTATCATTAGACTCTTCCTAATATATATTTTTATTCAATGTTAAATTTTCAATAATTCCTTTTTTCTTTATCTTTACCATAAAGTCATGACCCAAAAATCTGCCCATGTGCAAATTCGTATAATTTTTGGGGAATACAAAAGTATGAAATAATTAGAATACATAACATTTTAAGAATCATCCTTTGATAAAGTAAACAGTATGTGTACTGACCAGTTTTTGAATCAGAACCCAATAATTTCCAGAAACGTTCTTGTTGTCTCAAGGAGCAAGTGGGCTTTTCTTCACTGATAGTAGTCACCTGACTGGCACTTGTACAGCCTAAGTCTTTGTGCTGTAATATGTGCAAAGCAACTTCTGCACCTCTTGATCGTTCAATTACATTTGAGTAACGCCCAACCCAGTTGAAAACCTAAAATGTAAGACATCCTTTTAATGATATCGATACAAACGTGAATATTTAATTTAAAAAAAATTTAATATGATTTTCATTCTCAAAATGCTTCTCTATCTTGCCAATAAAATCATCATTACATATTTAATTTGTTTTACTAATATTCATTTTCAGATAAAGTTACAAATATATAAATCTAAAGGAAAAGCTTGTTAGAGAAAAAAATAAACAACTTAAAAAAAATTAAAAATTATAAAATAATGGGGGAAAGTATGGAAAATTCTCATAGCATATAACATATGTATGTTACATTTATAAAAGCTTCCATTCAATTATTTATAATTGAAAACATGAAATCATATGTTTCAAGTCAAGCAAAGGAAAATAATTTCATTTCTTTATTACCTAGATGGTGTACTATGTTATTAATTGATAATAAAAGAACGGGCTTACCTCTGTTGGAGTAACAAGTACATAGTTGTCTCCAGAATTAATACTACTGGCTACTGGTTCTACTAATCTTGTCTGAACATGTCTTCTTCCTTTAATTAGCAAGAGCATAAGATCCTGATAAGGTAACATTGCTGATGAATTGGCCACAGCCTTTTTCAACTGAACAGCTGTAAAATCCTCTTTACTGGCAAGTCCTGCAAGTGCTTCTACAGCCAAGGAAGAATGTTTTGCCACTGCAAAATTTGATGAAAAAAATTAATTTACACAAGAATTTTCTACAATATTGAATGAAAAAATTTATGTCGGAAAAATAATTTAATTTCATTGTGCACTTCTATCTGTTCCAACAGTCATATTCTTTCTTGCACTAGACTATCATTTCATGTAATTACAATTAATTAATTCAACTAGCAAAAGTACAGAGTAACTTCTGTAACAATCCAGGGTACCAAAAAGGATACTTTCTTTACTATTTTTCAGTTCCTTGAATTTTACTACAAAGAGTTTTTATTGTCCTCATAATTACTACATAATATAATCAGGCCTGGATCCACTGGAGGGAAACGAGGGAAATTTCTCCCCTAAAATTTTTGTGCAACTATTAATTTTAAGAAAAATTTGAAACATTTTCAAGAAAAATATTTTGGGATAATCATTAAAACAAATACAATCGTACCGCAGCATGAGCTGAATGTAGCTTGCAATATTTTATAAAATCTGTAATGACACATTCCACCAAAACCTTTTTAATTTCCCCTCCCCAAATTTGTCTCTAGATCCACCCCTTTTATAATACTAGTTCATTTGCAATTTAACATCTTGCTAAATATACAATTATATCTAAATTAGTAATTGGTCACTAAACCATTGAAATTCTAACTAGCTGCTATCTTTACAATTATAATATCTAACAAAAACAGATTGTTTCTTTTCATATAAAAAGAACGTTTTATAATTAAAGCATGAAGCCCTTAAGCTTGTAGAAATAAAGACAAAATACCCAGTAAGCTCTGCATTAACCTACTAGATCAGTTAAGAGAGTTCTTTCCTTATCTTCACTATAATTATAAACTCACATTGTTCCACTCGTAATCTCTTCAATTCTTTATCTGCTACTCCAATTTTCACTTCTTCATATTCATCTCTCAAATCTGTTCGTGCTTGTAATGACTTAATAGGGTTGCGAGATGTAAATTTGCGACGTTGTATTTTGACAGAGCGCTTTTGAACAAGTCTGGAATAAATAATCATCGTCATTGTCATCATCATCGTAGTAATACAGATTAATAATATTGTCATAGATGCAAACATTGCTTTTTAAAAACTTCTGAGGAACTTACAAACTAGTAGTTTGACTAACAATGTTATCAAGATCTGTATCATTTATTTCAAGCCTTTGTTGTTGTAGTTGCAATTTTTCTGTACTGATGCTACTGTAAAATTGAGTAAATGTTTCATCATCAGGTCTTGGAATAGCAACTTTAGCAGTAGGTGATGATTCTTCAGTTTGGACACCTGTTCAGAAAAATGCAAATTAATTTCAAATTTTATTTCAATTAGTATGGGTAATTTTCTTTTATTCTAGGATTTATTTAACTGTGCATTTGAAGTAAATTAGCTGTTCACAGTTTCATACAATCAGGAGCTTGAATGTCTCCATAGTGACATCACTGTACCGACATATAAGCTCCCGATTGGATGAAATTGTAACAGCTGATAAGTATCATGTGCACCACTAAATAAATCATACTATAATAAAGAATAATTTCTTCAGAAAGTTTAATTTATAGGGTTCCACTACAATATATCATGAAGTAAAAGTAGTAACGTATTAGTTGCAATATCTGCGTAATGTGAGTTTCAATGACGCTCATCTTAGAATCCATCCTATTTGTTTCTTAAATTGATTTTCCAGTAACAGACACTACTCTCAGCAAATGTATTAATTTACAATAATATCAATTTACTTATCTATTTGAAAACAATCTCTGTATTTTATTTTAAGTCTCTGTAATAGTTTTGTATAAGTAAGAACCAAATTAATTTAATGATTTTCAAATATGTTCAGAGTAAAAATGTTTTCATTTGTGACACATCTATGTCACAAACGAAAACATGATGTATATGTTTTATAGTAGACCTACTGGATGATACATCCTCTCCAATTCCCTTAGTGACAACAGATACAGTCGTTTTTCTGGAATACTGGTATACTCAAACAATATGAAAATTAAGATTTTAATGCAAACCAGTCCAAAAAATTATTTTATGAGGAATAAGTTTTATTTTTGACATTATGCAAATTGCCGCTTGGTAGCATATAAATTACTATTTTCATGGATGGTGATCAACATTTATTTTTATGGATTAATGTTGCTAAAAAAATCAGAGTATATAAAATCCATTTTCATACATTAAAAAATCATCAGATATAAAAAAAAAATTTGATATTAATTGCAAGGCAATATGACTTATCGTTGATTACGGGGAAACTACTGAAATTGTGGTGAAAGTAAATAAGGCTCTCCTGTACAAATATTTTTATATTACTTGTGCAAAAGAATTCAAAAAGGTGATGTTATGAATATTAAAACAATAAACATGTGATAATACTGAACAGCCGAAGAACACCTACCATTGTCATCGCCTTGAGGTGCTGAGACACTGCGTTTCAGCGTGACAAGAGGTTCTTTTTGGGGTGATGATGGAGTTGATTGGGCTTCTTTAAGCTGGGCTAAAAAATAAATTAATTGAATAGTATATAAGATGAATTTTGAGTTAACATCTACTTAACAACAGAAACAAAATATAAACAATTGTTGTTAGTTTACCGGTAATTTATTTTTGTTTTGAAAGTAGGGAGAGGAGAGGAAAGAAGTGAAAGAAGAAGGAAACCAATGCAAAAGGAAGAAGAAGACACAAAAAAGCACAAATGAAAAGGAAGAAGAAAGACCATAAAAAGACAATGAAAAGCCAAGAAGAAGACAAAAAAGACAAATGAAAAGGAAAGGAAGAAGGACAAAAAAGACAATGAAAAGAAGAAGAAAGAAAAAAAGACAATGAAAGGAAGCAGAAAGACAAAAAAGACAATGAAAAGGAAGAAGAAGACATAAAAAGACAATGAAAAGGAAGAGAAGACAAAAAGACATATGAAAAGGGGTAAGAAGAAGACAAAAAAGACAATGAAAAAAGAAGAGGAGACGATGAAAAAGCAGACGAAGACTATTGAGAGAGACGAAGGGCGAGGGAAAGGGAGACGAAGCGAGGGAAAGGAGACGTAAGGCGAGGGGAAAGGGAGACGAAGGCGAGAGAAGAGAGAAAGGAAGACGAAGGCGAGGGAAAGGGAGACGAAGGCGGGGAAGGGAGACGAAGGCGAGGACAAGCGAGACGAAGGCGGGAAAGGGAGACGAAGGCGAGGGAAAAGGAGACGAAGGCGAGGGAAAAGGGATGACGAAGGCGAGGAAAGGAACGAACCCAGGCGATGGGAAAGGGAGACGAAAGGCCGAGGGAAAGAGACCAAGACGAGGGAAAGGGGAAGACCAAGACGAGGTGGAAAAGGGAGACCAAGAGAGGAAAGGTGAACCCAAGACGAGGAAAGGGAGACCAAGACGATGGAGAAGGGAGACCCAAGACGAGGGAAAGGAGACCAAGACGAGGAAAGGGGAACCAAGACGGTTGAAAAAGAAGATGAAAGAGGACTCGCACCCCGTCTTGCCGCGGAAAGCGCAAAAGCGGGCGCCGGTTCTTCTTCTGCAGGCCCCGCCGCCCTCGCACGGAGAGCCGCCGCCATTGAGCGGCGGAAGAGGAACTCTGGCGCTGAGTTCCGGCCCCGCGCCAAAGCGCTCGCCCGCCGCGGCGTCGGCGTCCGGCGTGGGCGTGGGCGTCGGCCCTTGGCGCGGGCGCGCGCGAGGGCCGGGGAGGCGCGCAGGTCGCGCGGCGTCAGGTGCATGCGCCCGGCCACCGAGAACTGCACGGCGTCCGACGGCCCCACGCGCTTGCGCCAGTCTTGCGACGCGGCGTCCAGCCGCCCCAGCCGCTCCGACAGCAGCCCGCCCACGTCGGGCGGCGTCGACGGCTGGCCCTCCGGCGCTGGCGCCGGCGCCTGCACCGGGGGCTGGGGCTGCTTGCTCTCCTCCGCCTACGCACATGCGACGCCAAGCCGTGAGGATCGCCCCAAATGCAATTACGGTAATTAACAGATTTAATTAGCACCGAGATAAACCAAGCGTTGCGATTAAAAAACAAAAATTATACACATTTTTGTTTCAATGTATTTAGTGCGAAGTGCAGGGCAGCCCTGAGCACGATAAGATGGTCGAAACGTCGGCAACACAGCTTTCGACGCGGTGTCACCCGGACTGCCAAGATCATTTACACGACTCCGGCTGCGGAAGCCTACGACTTCATTTAATTTACGGTAGGATTTATCCGACTTTTGCCAGATAGTGGTATTTTCAAGACGACTGGGTTCTGGGTGACATATTCCCATCACCTTATACTTTGATTTAACCGCAGGGTATGCTGACGTAAATCAGCTCTTACGATGTCATCCGAGTTTTGATGACACCTAAGTCGTGATGTTTAAGTTCCCGATTGGATTATACTGTAAAAGCTAATTAAACGTCGACTGTAAATAAATCGAAGTATACTTGCACAGCCTGAACTTTTCTTTCGTCCCTCAGATATAGACACAGATGATTGCAATGGAAAGCTACATCTCTACTTTTGTCCTGACCGGGAATCGTACCCAGGACCACATAACAGGAAGCTAGTATGCTGCCCATGAGCCACTCCAGATTTTTTAACGTAAATAAACTAATGTAGACCAAGTATACGTTTAATGTCGTTGTGTAATAATCAACGGTTTTCCAAATCGCGCACAAGAAGTGTTTGTTACAGGAAATACGCAATGAGTCGAGATGCGTATTGAGAAGGGGGGTGTTAGGGGGTCGTCTCCCCTGGAGAAGTTGTTACCCCTGCTGGAAAAATATTTGTTCCTGCCAGAGACGCAAATCTTTTTTTAAGCGTTCCATTTTACAATTTCCATACTCCACAATATTCAATTCGAGGACTTCTAGTGAAGAAAATAGGACAAGAAAACATTCTCCAGGGCATTATTTTATTTAACGTCATAAAATGTTAAACACTGTGGGATGTACTGCGGAGAGAATGCACTCTGTACGTGCATTCTCACGATTAATTCGGACAGTATTGCTTAAGCGAAGATTCTTTGGGTCCTCTGAGTTTTCCCCCCTGCAGAAAATACATCCTCATATGCGTGCGTTCATTAAAACACACACACACACACACACACACACACACACACAAGGTCTAGCAAGACGAAATTCATAAAGAGCCTATATGTATTGTACCAAATACTTTAATCGCTTCCTTGTAATTGGCCATCGCCATGTGATACTCTCAAACAACAACATTATGTACGAGGATATAGGGAACGCAGAAATACCCGAGTCCACTTAGAAGATCAGCATGTGGCTTTTCTAAGTCTCTTTTATCCATCCGTAAAGCCTTCAAGCAGCTTTTTAATTGGATGCAATTCACGGAATTCGCTACCACGGCTTCTTAAACATAGTCTATAATAGTCGTCGGTTTTTTTACCTCCATTATGATGAAAGTAGTAAAACGTCCTATGAATGGACGTTCGGTAAGGAGATTATTAAATAATAATATATTATTTTTATTAGATTAATATGCAGCGATATTTCCAACATGATCGTTCCGAATTACTCGATTAATCTTATTTAATAAATTCATTGTTCACACGTTTTAAATAATGAGTAAAATCGTTAATTTTCTATTTGAAAATTAATTCATTGTCGAGTAATCGTCACTTTACGATTAATCGTATAAAATAATCGATTATTCTATTGATCCCGATTAAATCACCCATTCCTAATTAACGCTCATAAAAATGCTTAATTATCATTTTTTGAACTTGTGCTAATTTAAAATGTGGTGCAAAATATGGCGTTCAGTTAGGCAATATTTTAAAATATTGATATAAAATTATATTAATAAATTCATTTTAAATTCCTGAATTTAAATCGTTCATTAAAATTACTACATTTGTTCGTGTCCGATTTTTCGAAACCCCACTTCTAACTTTGAAGTTTTTAGACCTCTTTAATGGACGACTACTTAACGGAGCGGTCGCCATTGAAGGGGTTACAAGGGCAGGGGCCCGATTTAAGATACATGTGTACCCTAATTTTGCAAACAGACTTTAACGTTAACTTTGTTTAAAAGTAAGCCTTTTAAGAAAATTTTCAACATACTCTGAAGAAATTCTAAAATCAGTAGATCCAAAATAATTCTCAAATATGAACGATCCATCTGTTGAGGTATGCACGTGATTCACAGAATCTCAAAAGTTTAATACGAAGTCAAAACTAATCTCAAAAATCTGTTTCCTACATACTTACGTACTTTTAAGTACTACTCTAATATTTTCAATTGTGTAGGTAGTGTTTCTGATTATTTTCTATTGGAGATGTTTGTAAATCTATTGAATAATAACAGAAAATATTTATGAGGTGTAACTTGTACTGAATGATATGTCACTAAATAAAATTACATCCATAACTATCATGTGAACTCAAGGTTTTTATTTTTGAAAATAAACCACTCAATATATTTTTATAAAATTCTTATTGATTTTATGCAATAATGTCAAACAAACCCTCTATCTAAAGTAAATTATGCAAAATATAGTTTTACGTTTTAAGTATTAGATCATTTGTCTCATCACAAACAGTGCGTTTTTTAAATTAAAAGTAGTGGAATGCTTTCGTATTCACTCAATTCAGAACACTTCAATTAATATTTTGATCTGTTTTTACACATTTTTAATGTACCGTAGTTCAATAAAAAAAACGGGTCCAAAACAAATTTTCTCTCTCTCTCTCACACACACACACACACACACACACACACACACACAAATCCCACCGGCAATTACTTTTTGGGGTGTTGTAAGGAAGATACAATCTAAAACAAAGGTATCTTAAAACTTGAAATGCACGTTTTCCCGACGGACCTGACCTGATGTTTCAAAGGTCAGTCTTTAACGATAGTCACAATCTGGATCTATATAAGCAAGGGAGTGGTGTAGAGGGTAAGTTCCGAGTCCATGGGTTAAGTGTAACAACGGGAGGGCACATTTATGAGAGCAACTGTAAACTGCATAACGTAATTTGTATAAGTCATGACACAATATTGACTATGCAATTCTTGAGTATGGAACAACTGTTCTGTATACATTTATACGCAACTAATTAAAAATAAATAATGGGATAACGACAGGGGCGGATCCAGATGTGAATTTTGGGAGGGAAAATTCAAAATGTTTTGGTCCAAGGTGTTATATTGCCGAATTTATAAAATGTCGTAGGCTACACTAGCTCATGCAGCAATACGATTTTATTAGATTTTAATGATTATCAGAAAAAATGTCTTGAAAGATTCGTGACAAGTTAAAATTAATAGTTACTGAACAATTTTAGGGGGGGGATTTCCCTCTCCGTGGATCCGCGCCTGGATAATAATAACTCCAAGGGCGCACACAATTGTGATTTAAACCACTTGATATTTATAATGAAAATATGCTTTAATTAAATATTTTCAATTATAATTTTATAAGAAGTATTTGCAAATTGAACAAGAATCGATGAGCGTATTTAATTTAAGCATCTAATATTAATTAAAAATATTCAATTGTTTGCAAGTAATAAGTACATTTGGAGCTAATTTAAGAATACCCGACTTGCAGATTCCCTGTCCGCCACAAGTTTATTACTGTTTTTACGCAAATAATCAATTAAAATAAACACGCAGCTGGTAAATGATGTTCCAATACTAATGACATTCAGTATTTTCGGAATTCTATATTTCATTTAACACACTTACTCCCTCGTAGATCATTACAGTTTTCTCAATTTTTCACGATAAGTAAGTAAATAAACGCCTGCTCATCGCTTTTTCAGACGATTTGCCATCCATTACTGGGAGATTCCTGTCCAAACACACCTTTTTCGATGAAGGTTTAATTTCACCGTGTGAACAAATATTATAAAAACTGTAAGGAACTTCGATATCAGACTTGGAAATTTTGTATAATAGAGTGAAATTCAAAACAGTTAATATTCTAAGCAATTCCAATCACATTTTATATGAGAAATGGGCAAATTTAGACTATTTGACATGCTTTAAAGGGGGAAAATGACAGATTAAATCAATATCCTCTCATTATAATACGCTAGAAAACGATGACAAGTTTGAAAGATACATGAAACCCTTTCGACAAAAGTGTGCCACTGCAGGGTAGGGAATTACCCTCCAGGTGTGCATCAAATATTTAAGACGAAAAATTTAGAATTTTACAGAATTTGATTATAAGTAAAACCGGCGACGCTGCTGTATTACACTATACCATCGAGTTTAACTCGGAAACGACGAGTCCGTTTACACTTTAAAACATGCTTTTCGTGTTCCAACAAAACGAAAAATTTGTTCTATTGCCGAAACGCACAAAATAATAGCGCTTTTGGACGTTGTTAGAGTTTTGTGTGGTAATCCTGGGTAGGGTTGTCAGCAACGTTCAAAGTTTAGTTCGGATTATTATTTACCCTTCTAAAACAATGATTAAAAGTTCGGACTGTCGACACAAATCCAAAATTAAATATTGTAAATGTTCTCTAAACAATTTAATCAATAGTAAAAAACTCACATTTCTGATAAAAAAACAAAGTATTTCCCGAATATCTTATTCTCGGAAAATCGCGTATAATCCTTAGATTTTATACAGAGCTGATTCTTTAAGTGTTCCAGTGAACGGAATGCAAGAATTGCTAAAAAATGAGTCACCGTCAAAGATAGAACTTAACTAACTGTTTATAACAAAATGCATTTATAAAACGTTTAGAGGAAGAGATCGGAGGTAAGAATGTATTTTCATTTATCTTCAATGTGAAATCGTAGGTTTTAAACCGATAAAACATTACAAAAAAATGGAATTTTAAACTTGGAGTCTGAGCAATGTATTTAACTATTAGGAAGAAATCAACATAGAAAAATTAGTTTCCGATTCAGAACATTTCTATGTGTGAAGAAACTGCAAAGTTGACGGTAATGTGATGGCTTCCATTAGTAAGTATTCGATTTCATTTTTGAACTATCGATTTTCAAATAAGAAATAGCTTTTATTGATCGATTATTTTCTTTAAAAGAATTCCACTGAGAATTAATCTAAACCTTTTCCAGGAAATTTTCGATACTTTAGTTTTAGACAGTTTATATTTACAACGCGTTTCTCCTTCAAGTCAATTCTATTTTTCTAATAAGAAAAAAATATTGAAGTATTTTGGTTCAATGCCATGCCCAATATCTTGCAACTACACATATTTGTTGATTTGGAACATTTTTGAAAACATCTTTCCAGTAAGTATTATAAAGCGAGTTGATTTATTCGATATGTGTATAAAAAACTCTTGAAAGAGTATTTCGGGACTCTCAGTAAAGCACAAACCGAGTGAGGAAAGCACGCAAATTGCACGGTGATGGGCACACAACGCGGGTACGCGTGAAAGTACAGAGATTACCCCCCCCCCCGAAAGCCCACAGGCTATGGAGAAACGACGTGAACAAAGGTGGAGATATCAACTCCCTTCAAACAGTTTATTGAAGTAAAATCCAACTCTCCTGAGCATTATGGCATGCAATATGTTTTCTGCACAATTTCACGTTTTCATTTTAAACAAAAAATTCCGCATGGCTTTGTCAGTATAGCAGTCAGCAAAAATATTGTTCACAGCCACCGCCATTGGCTTGATGATTTTTTTTTTTAATTCACATTTATTCAGATTTTTACATATATAAATCGCAAAACTTTACTTACTCATATCCTTTAACACATGTGAAAGGAGTTTGTTGCGTCTCCCAAAAAGCAGTGTAGGAATTGCATTTCGGCACCGATTCACTTGTGATAGGATAATATGAGATCGTAATGACTAGCGCGTAAGAGACGGATCTCTAATGACGTCATTAAAGTAGTTTCTCTGATTCCACACTTTCTCTGAACTTAATAACCTCTAATTAAAAGTTGTGCTTATTTAAAAATGTGCCTACGCATCACTCACAGAACGTAACGTCTGATCGGAAGGAAGTACACAACGACTGATGATTACCAGAGTAGATGAGGTACTGTTCATAGAATTTATCATAGGTAATTCTAAGAGTGCTTTGGAATTTATCTAAGAATTTCCAAAACACGAGTGGTGTTTAATAGGACTATTCCACGAGTGAAATTACGTCCAACAGGGTTCCAAAAAGCATCAAATATTGAAAATCACTGAAAGCTATGTTAAAATCAAAGAGGTTCATACGCTGTTCATTGGACATCGACATAGCGATCGATGTATAACGCCTCCTAAGATAGTCACAGTTTATGATTGGCCAGTAGAAAGAAGCGGTAAGAAAAATCAGATAGAAAAAGTGATAACTTATTGAGATAGACCACACTGATTGGGGCATTTTGTATGAATAGTTAAACACTATTATTTCTAATTTCACGAGTGGAATAGTCACCGAATTATTACTTCGTCGTTAGTCAACACAATTAAAAACCAATCAATTATCATGTCTAGCTTTCTTGCACCATTAACAACGAACACTTTGTATATGCACAAGAACACGTATTATCCAGCCATGTGAAAAGAAAACGTGCTTCATTTCTAGAGGAACACAACTAAAGGGAAAATGACCTCGAGCGCGGCGTCGGCGGCTGAGCGACGAAGGGATCGTCGCGACACCCACAGGATCACCACCAGCACGCCCGCCCCCAGCATCACCTCCGCCCAGGGCAGGCTCTGCGCTGCCGCCCACCACGACCACGCCATGGCAGCGATCACCGCACAAAACGTCCCGAAACCTCCTCAGTGCGAATCCATGGCGCTTCCTTGGACGCGAGCCCCGGTGGCGACCGCCGACTGCGATAACAGGCGCGGCGCTCCCCGGACGGGCGGTCTACCGCGAGGCGGCGCGCAGGCCCCGGCCCGCACGCACCGTCGCCCCCGCTGCCGGCACCATCCCCGCTCACGCACGCACACGCGAGGCGGCTACAGAAACACGGGCCGCGCTTGCTGCACGAACACCACGGCGAACACGAAGCACCAGATGAACAGCATCACCACCAGGCACACGATCTCCGACACGTACGGATACATGGGGGCGCGGGCAGCTGCTGGCGACGACGTGGGGCTTCTGGAGGGGGGCTTATCGGCGGCGGGCGAGGCCGCGCGACGGAAGGGGAGAGGAGGGGGTCGGCGGCGCTCCGGGAGGTCGCCCCCGCGTCCAAGCGACCGCCTTCGCGCGCACGGCTCCGCACCGCACCGCCCGCGGCTCGCCGCCTGACTGACACGCCGCGGGGCTCGCAGCCGCCGACGCCGCGTGAAGGAGGCCGTGACGCCCGCAGGGGCGTCCAAAGAAAGCGCCGCTGCGCCACTCGCACTGACGTTGCTAAGGGACCACCAGGGGCGGATCCCAAACTAAGCTCCACTTACGACTCCATGTAAATATTTTTAAAATACAATTTGGTAAGATTTAAATTTAAAAGAGCACGAGCTTATTAATTATGACAATCCTACTTTAGATGTGATCGGATTCATTAATGGCAATTATTTTGAATAAATTGAGTAAAATTATGACAATGTTTTCTGAGGGAGATCGCCTGCACTCCACTTTTAAGTCCCTTTTGAGTTGGAAACCTTTTAAATTGGAACAGATACAGCGAGGCAAGCACAAAATCCCAGTACTGAGGAAATTGTTCTAAAAAGAGATCGAATGTTTCGTCTGAATTTCAAACCAACCGTTGGGTTCGCAAAGTAAGTTCATGCCTGCTCTGGATCCGACTTCTGTTATTACGCCACGAACTCGTGATAGAGCAATTATTGTGTTCAAAAGTGGTCATTTTGGGAGGAGAGGTGAGGATGGGGAGGCGTTAGAATTTATTACGCTACGGAAAGTGCACTGGACAAAACGATACTTCGGGACAGGCTTTGACTTACTACTTCAGTTTCCTCTTCCACAGAGTTTCTGCGCCGAACAAAAACAGAGAGGAGATGAAGAATAAAGACGATAAGAAAAAAAGAAGAGGAGGTGCAGGAGAAAGATGAAGAGGGGGGCAGGGTAGTGAAGGAGAGGAGAAGGAAAGGCAGAAGGGGGAGGGAAAGGAGGAGAACTGGGGGCGGAGCAGAAGAAAGCGAAGAAAAGGAAAGCCAC